CTCTGCCACCGTGTTCACCACACCATTGCACACCACACTATAAGAGCAAACCTGGCCATCTCTCATCATTTGTCTTGTCTCTTGTGTGGGTTCTTTTCAGATGTGTAGTGTGCACCAGGCTTCAGAGAGCTTCTACAGCAGTGCTAATGCCAGGGATGTTTTTGAACTTAAGGAGCTGAGCACTGAAAATGCTGAAGCGCATTCATTTTGTATAGAAAACAAGAACTGGTAGAAAAAACAGCATTAACGGACACAGAGGCGTCAGAATAATAAAAAGTAGAGCGACGCCGATGAGCGTCTTCAGTCTACGAGCTGGAGCTAAACTGATTTCACGCTTGACGTACATCATTTTCACAGTCACCTGACAAACATGTCCTGCCAATTTGGCGGTCTACTTGAGCTGGGAGATATACGGTCTCTTCCTCTGCTGTCAGTGCCACTGCTGCCCAGTGCCAGCTCTGCACTCAACCCTGACACCTCCTCAGTACCCACCAGGAGGTCTGACTGAGCAGATTATTCGTTCACTCTTAAAATTTCTGCACGTCAAATAATCCTGCAAGGGGTGATGCAGTGCCAAACATGAGCCCTGTTTTGCTTCAATAATAATTTGAAAGCATTACTCTCAATTCTCTTGACTGAAATGATGATGATGATGTCTGATGTATAGTAGCACTTTCTATAAGTGGAGTGAGGAAGGAAAATTGCCATTCATTACTGTACCACAAGCTTTGATAATTGAGTGTTTCATGTTCACCTGTGTCTCATAAAAGCAGCTGTCTCCAGCAGACACAAAATACCAACCAATTTGTTCAGACTCCTCGGATATAAACCCTCTTCGTCTCTCATTATTTTCAGTAATTCTTCTCCCTGAGATTTCATTCACAGACTCCCTGTCGCTTCGACACGTCCCTATCACCACTCTCACAGTTTTTAATTTGAGTTTTAAATGAAGGCAGGTGTCGAGGAGGATAAATGAAGAGATGGAGAAAGCCTGCTGTCCGTCTCAGGTGAATTCAGCCTCTCGTTTATGTCACACCATCTCCTCGTCACCTGTTCAGACTCCTCTACCTGCTCAGTGGTGTCACATACAGCAGCTGGCTGTGAGGGGAGCAGGTGACAGATGAGATTGAATCTCTGTTTTTCCCTGCAGAGAGGTGTAATGAATCCAATCTGATGCAACGGACAGACAGACAGAGAAGTTTTAGGTGAGCTGAGAGTTTCACATTTCTGTTTTTCATTCCTACAAAGGGCTGTCATACCTCCATATTTGAACCCTCTAACCTCATCCTCACTCGGTCATAAATTCACAGCAGATGGAGACAAACCAATAATTGTTCTGAGATGAATGTTGGCTAATCTCGCTTTGAACGTTTGGAGTGTGAATGCACCGCACATGAAAGTGAAAAAATCTATAAATGCAGGACTGTGAGCCATTTTCTAAACAGACTGTGACTGTAATGAAAAATCCTCATACAGTATTGACGCATTCATTCTGCTCCTGATTTTACCGTCACACCCCGTTTGATTGCAGGCAGCATGTAAAGGAGGAGCTAATGTACAGCAAGAGGAGTGTGAGGCGGTTCTTGTCTAACAATGAAAGGATTTACTCGCTCTATAAAACCATTATCCTTTAGTACACAGGTACCTCTTAAAGCAGGTAGACTTTTGGAGATTACAAAAGGAAACCAGTTACTGTGTATTTGAGGAGGGGGTCTGATATTGGCAGCAGCTGTTTGTTATATAAAAATAACAGACAGTTGTCGACCAATCATGGTTAGATATTAAGATAAGCAATACCACCATGTTTTTGCTCAGCTTGAAGTTTTGATCACTCTGAAAATCATCTGAAAATACAGCAAGTAGTGACAAGGCGTTGACTGAGTGACCCTGTATTTGAAGGCCTGTCCTCTGCTGAAGTCCTGCCCAGAAACATCCTTATTTCAAACTGTGCCCTAAAAACAGAGTGGATGGAGAGTTAATATTTAACATGCCAGGACAGACCGGACTGCAGGCTTGATGCCTCAGCAGCATCAGGCTTGTTTGGTGCACAGAGAAAGTGCTCGGTAGTATCTCATACATCGAGCCTATTCATGCTGCACCTTCATATCATTCATCTTCTTTGCAGATCTGCAGTATCAACCAAGACAGGAAATGAAGGAATTAAAGTTCTCTGTGCTGTGACAGTTTTCCAGCAATACATCTAGAAGGAGACGTCATGGAGGGAGGGGTGCTAGCTGTGGAGTTAGCTGATCAATACTGTGGCTCCTTAGTCCTGGTATCTTTTTGTCATTGGATTTCCAATTCAGAATCATAGTGAGAAAGTGGTTCATTCAGAAATGGGTTTAACAGAAAACCAATGCTCTGCTCCAGTTACCTCGAAAGTCGAAGCTGGGAATGACATTACACCCGAGTTGACGGCATTCCAGTAAACAACTTGAAAAACCAGGATGGACACCTACAGTTAGCTGTTGTTAATAATTGTCAGCTGTTGTCAGTTGTTAGCCATTGTCAACTGTTGTTATGTTGTTGTTAGTTGTTGTTAGCTATACCAGTTGTAAACAACACATTACACAATATTTTATCCTTTTAAACACCATAGAACCGTGTTCACAGGTAGACGTTGGGCAGTACACATATACCGCTTATTTAATTTCACTAAAACAAAAAAGAAGTGCTAATAGATAATACATTAGGAGAGCTTTCACTGGTACTTTTTACTGTTGATGCATTGCGCTGCCATCTTGGATTATGACGTTGTCGTCAAGTGGGGTTGGTGAGGATCGTCCGACTTGGCAGGTTGGAAATCTGACTTCAGGGGGGCATTCCAGATGAATTTCCGACTCGGAGCTCAGAAATCCCGACTTCCAAGAACAACTTGAATGCACCATAAGACCAGATGGATGGAAACCCTGATGATCAAAGATGGTCTGACCTCTGGTACTAGCCTCACTGTGTCAGCTGGAAGAAGTACCTATAGTTACAGGAGACTTAGTGTTCCTACTCTCCTTTATTATTAGCCTGCATTGTCATGGGTGGATGAATGATTACAGTGGTTGTAGGAGGTGAAGATGGTAGAATGTCTCAATAAGATGATGAAGATGCCGAAGTTTCATTGTTCTAAGGCTGGAGAAGTCCTTGTAGAGCGTGGAGCTGTGTGCTGTTATATCTTATTCTTAGAGACATCCGTCTTCTCTCAGTTCACGAGACATTTTTCACCAGCACTTTGACAAGATCTCAAAATGGCCTCATTATGTGGGCTTATTGGATTCACCTTTAAACTTGCAGGATAATTGTGAAGACCTTTGGACTTAAATGTTACAAAGCCGACGTACTTATCATCAGGTATTTCTCTACAGCTCTATATCCAATAAACACACTGTATTTAGATCCCCTGAGTATTATGGTTTGTTTGAGAGTGAAGAATGAGAGATGAGAGATAGACTGCTGGAGAGGAAGAGGAGTGAGACGGAAAGGAAAGAGGGGCTGTCAATCCTCTGAATCACCAAACTCATAACTCACTCATTTATAAAACAAACCAGTTTAAGGAGAATTCACTCTTAGTATAGTGTGTGACATGGTAGCTATCCTTACCACACTTGTTTTTTTAAACCAGACTGTAAACATGTTTGACAAGGTTTGTATTCTGGCTTCAAACAGGCTCTCAGGGACCTGCACTTATTAACACTTCTGCATTGGCTTCATTTCTCAAGACCTGAGGTTGCTGCTTCATCGGCACCCAATACCAGTCAATTAGCACCACAGTTAATTACACGACAATAGTTACTGGTTGAAACAAAACCCCAAGTGTCCCTCGTTTGTCTTCAGAGATAATAACATTGTTATTTTTACTGTTATCAGTGATATTGTTTAAAAGGATATTCCGGCGTCGCCTTTTTGGTCAAACACACTGTAACACCGAGTTAGACACCCCCCAGAGAGATGGATGTTGCCGACCGCTTCCTTCTCTAAATATACTAACTTTAGTAACGACTGCACAATGGCAATACAGAGAGCCACGCGCTCAACCAAAACGCTACTCTACAGCCACAAATAATGCTCAGAACAGCACCTAACTTCATCAACAGTACATATAGGGTCCCAGCCACAGTACTAGCCACCAAACATCTTTTTAACTTTGCCTAATTTCTTGAACAAAAAGACTAAACACAACTCACCCACTCTCTTCCAGCAGCCGCTTGTTTGTAGTGAGACCTCAGGCCAGTCCATTACAGACTACAGTGGGGTGACGCAGCTTAAGGCAGAACATTTCTGTTCATTACTTTTTCATTTCCTTTAAGAAATAATCACCATCTCTAGAGGGGGTGTCCAACTCGGTGTTACGGTGTGTTTGACCCTCAATTAATTTTACACTGGAATATCCCCTTAAAGTGGGTCCGAAAAGTTTTAGTTAACATTTAAACTTTTAAAGAAGGATTTAAAAATTTCCAACCAAAGAACGAAATATGTGACATTATGACCCAGAGCCCTCTAAGATCTGTTTCTGGAGCTTCAAACTGGACCATTTAAGGAAAGCAGTTTTCTGCAAGTATGTGAGAATGATGTAACAGATGAATACTTGTTCATCAAAGCTATCCATAAGTATCAGAGGGAGGTATTGAGACTTACTAGCACAGCCTATCATAGAACATGACAGTTGAGGAGTTCCTTATGAAATTACAGCTTTTAATGAAGTGTGTAGAGATTATTAAAACAATATTATATACTTCATAAAGCTCTTATTAATGTTCATACACTTGTCAGGCACTTGAAAATCCATCACATTACATAAAGACATCTCATGAATCATTAGACTGACCCAGAGCGGTTCAAGCTAATCTTGCTAAGATCACATTAGGAGGTCCAGATAAATGATGTTTGGTCTCAGGGTCACACGGAGTGAATTACAGGCGCTGATGTCGGCCCGACGAGATCGAGACTAATCATAGTGAAGGGGTGTGTGAGGGGGGAGTAAACGGTGGGGGTGGGAGGCAGCGGAGGGGGGAGTTGAACAGTGTGCAGAGCAGATGCCAGGCGAGCTCAGAGGTGCGTTCTGGCGCGGTGATTCCTTCAGGAGCGCGCGTCTTAACAGTGCGTAAAAATGGTCCCAGCGTGAGAAAATGGAAATACCGCGTTTCACATTTTCACAAGAGCATCTACTTCTCCCTTTAGAGCGGGATACATGCCAGTAATAGGACACGTATCTATTTATAACGACCAACAACTCGCCAAACAAGCGGTCACCCAGAAGATGGACCCTCTGTTCAACACCACCGAGCCGAACCTCTCCTACGGGACAAACGCGTCCGGAAACAGCAGCGACGGCTTCAACCAGTTCATCCAGCCGGTGTGGCAGATCACCCTGTGGGCTGTGGCATATTGCAGCATCGTATTGGTGTCTGTGGTCGGTAACATGGTGGTCATTTGGATTATTCTGGCGCACAAACGCATGAGGACCGTCACCAACTACTTTCTGGTAAATACTCCTTCAGGTGTGATGAAAGGGTCAAACTTATGCGCCCACTGTGTGAAATTGAAGTGTTTCTTTTGGTGAATCGGTGTTTAATTTCATTTTTATTCTTTCTGCACTGATTCCTGCATGAAAATACTCCCTGATGAAGATTTACCTGAAGCACAAACATGTCCATCCATGGCTGAAAACTCAGAAGGAAGGTTAAGCTGCATCCATCTGTGATTTAGACATATTCTCTATTCATTAGTACTCAAAATAAATAAGTAGTATTCACTTTCTGTCACAGGTCCGAGCCAATTAAATCAATTAATGCAATCACTTTGCCCCTCTTGACTTGCGCAGAAAAACAGGATCCTTCTCCATAAAGCATGAATCAAATTTATACAGACTTTGTGATGGTTTAACAACTCTGATCTTAGAGTTTAGAAGGTCTGATTCACTAAAGCAAAGAGTTTACAGCTCCTGTGACGTTTACAGAGATTGCATTGGTTCATTACATCCTCCGATATCCCCTCTCTCCCTCTTTCTCTCTCTTGTCGTGCCGTTTTACCTTCTGTGATCGAGTGTTAATGATTATCGTCACACTCTGAGTGATTTAGACAGTAATTTCTCCCCTGAATGACCCAGAAATAACAAATCCAAATGTTTGTTAACAGGGTGCTGTTGACACTGCTGTGTGTATTTATTTATCATGATAAATGTCAGGAGTTGAATCAGACTGTGGCGCTGAGCTGTGTTTGCTTCGTGTATTTGGTCCTATTTAACCGGTTTTTGTTTGAGAATGACATTAGCAGTTACTAACTAGCTCAGCTCAATTGTCTGAACAACAATAACCCATAAATTCACAATTTGGCATATTTAAACAAAATCAAATCACAACTACCAACAGTCACAGTCCTTAAACTCTGAGCTCATATGTTGTCACATGTTAGATCGTCAAAGTTAGAAAAATAACAGGATCAATTCCTGACAAGCTACGATAGCATTATAGAACCAGTTGCGTTCACTCACGTTGTAGCATTCCATGAAATAATGTGACGAAGCACAATACAAGATGGCTAGTCCACCACTGTTTGTAATCCGTGAGGTTACGTACCCCTCCTACTTTGTCCAATCAGCAAGCGCCCCTTTCAACCACGTGATGCTGCTCGAAAAGTTTGGTGCGCTTTAGAAATCACAATGTGAAAGCAGAACCGAAACTTGTGGTAAATGCAACAATGTTGCGACTTTCAGCTCCCCAATCGAACCGACTCCGCTTGGTCAGGTGTGAAAGCGACCTTTGATTCAGTTTTAACTTCAAAAGTGCTATTCTGGTCCGAATTTGATCAGTTGGTCTTCCTGTCGGCGTGAAAATCAGTAGCCTACAGTAAATCTACAGCATACTTCACTGTAGATGTCTACAGAAAATATATTTTTAGAACTTCATAAAAAATTTTGGAATTTTGAAATTTGAAATAATCGGTACTTGGATTTTTTTTCTTTTCCCCCCTAATAATCTGCATCAGCCCCCAAAAATCCATATCGGTCGGGCCCTACTTAAATGTGCTGTGTTTTTAAACTGTTTTTCGCACTATAAGGCGCACTTAAAATCTTTTTGGCTTGTCGGAGCACTGCAGCTACCATAGCATTGCGGAGTTATTGAATGAGTTAAATAAATAATGCGCTTTATAATCCGGTGTGCTTTATAATCCGGGGCGCCTTATTTATGAAAATAGACGTGAATACACGCGTTAATTGATGGTGCGCCTTATAATCAGATGTGCCCTATAGTGCGAAAAATACAGTACTTTAGAAAGAATTTTTTTTTTTTTAACCAAAATCAGTGATTTTTAATCCCTGAGGTTTTGGCACCTGTCTCCTCACCAGAGTGAAACGATTGGAGGTATTTGCCCAGAATTTGGTCTTCCAGGCTGCCCTTGTGTCCTGCTCCAACAACAAATCAGCCGGTTTGAAAGAGCCTTAAAAATCACTTCATCCAGTTTAGCCATGAAAAAGGCCGGAGATATGAAAAGAACATCTGCGAAAGCCTTTCACTCTTGTTTTCTGGGGGCATTATCGTCGAGGCTTTAAATGTTTTCGTATGCGGTTCATGATGCAGGGCGCCGTCGAACATCTATGAGGAGGATTAGTGGTGATTGTAGGATTGTTGTGACAGTGGCTTTGTGCTGCAGGAGGCTCCTCAATACTTTTGTTTCAGTCTGCAGCATCATATCTAAAGTGAAGACTGGTTTCTGCAGCAGCTGCAGCTCACGGGCTCATAAAGCTCCTGGTGGGGCGGAACTGATAAGAGCTTAAACTTCATTAATTCACGGTTTTTATTGAGCTTATTGGGCAAAGGTTTTCAGCAGCTTCTTAAGGCTGCTTTGTTTTATTCAAGTCTTATCTGCTGGTTATAGAGACCTTCTGTCTGTGGAGGAAATTACCATAATTCAGGCAGACTTGTAGATATTCTCCAGAAAACCACGAGACGGTAATTCATCATTTAAGCTTTTTTAAATGAGTTTGTGTAAAAATCCAGAATATTTTTGGCGTTCAGAGCATTTAAATAAATGAAGAAGAGGAAAAAGTGGAAAAAGTATCCTAAGTTTGACCTTAAAGTCTTCTCTTGTGTTGTGGCGAGTCTTTCAACTCTGGAACCTTCCTGCAGGTGAATCTGGCCTTCGCAGAGGCTGGCATGGCGGCGTTCAACACAGTCATCAACTTCGCCTACGCCGTTCACAACGAGTGGTACTTCGGTCTGGTGTACTGCCGCTTCCACAACTTCTTCCCCATCGCCGCCATCTTCTGCAGCATTTACTCCATGACGGCCATCGCTTTGGACAGGTGTGTGCTCTGTAGGGACTGTTTTATGAGGCGCAGCGCCTCCAGAGCAGCTCTTATAGACATGTTTATTACCCGAGTATCATCATAAACCCACAGGGCGAGGAAATAAACACAGGGCTGCCATCAGAGTGAGAGATTGTATCTTCAGGCTCAGAAAGACCCTCTACACCGGGGCGGTACAGAGAAATTAGACAATTTCATAAACAGACTTTTTTCACAGTTTTTACCTGAAAGAGTTCACAGCAGAGTCTGTGGCTGATATTTGACACAGGGGGTGACTGAATATTTGCCTTGTCTGTGATTATCGAGGGCCTATACTCAGCATTTCTCTTCATTTTACCGATTAGCAATAAAATTTAAGATCTGTTTCCACCAACAGACCTTCATGAGGAATCTGAGCTTCAAGTTTCACAGGTTCATACAGAGAAGGACTGTAAGAGGGGGACAGTCCTCAGACATCAAAACTAGAGCTGAGGACGCATCGTTTCAACACTGGGTCTGCAACAAGAGCATGCACTTCCTCCTCATCCTAAAATCAGCCTCAAAACGCTCAATTAAATCATACAGATAGTAAATCGGCTCATCTCAACATTAACAACGACCTCCAGACGATGTATTCAGCTTGCAGCACCAGGGGTCAGCCATGATTGGTTTCTCAGGGTTGATGCCGATAGATTATTTGTTTTTCACGACCCTGAAAACCTGCAGGGAGTGTGTGCGTCACCTTCTGGTTTCGCTCCGTCTGATGGTCCGGTCTTGGCAAGCAGTCTGGACTCAGTTTACAGAAAACTTCGCATTACTGTGGTCGATTCCAAGAAGCTCATGATGGTTAACTGAATTAGTGATGACGCTCCTGAGTGTTTCTGTGGTCCATTTTTTTCCGCATCTTGGTCCTTTGGGGTCCAAAAGTCCTCTGTTTCTAATGGCCAGCAGGGGGCCACCCCTCTCGTTACAGAACCAGCCTTTAAGAAAACGAGCTGGTTCCCTCCCTTCAGTGAACAGCTTCCTCACTTTAACATGGTCTCAATCTGTAGTTTCAAGTCTTCATCAGTGCTTCATCAAGTTCTGGTCTGTTCATGGTCAGATTGATGATGCAGCCGAACAGTTTTTGGCCCGGGTAACCTTTGAATTGATGAGCTGCTCAAGTGGAATTAAAGCTCGTTAACCTCCGGCACAAATACGATCGCCTCTGGCCCCAGAATAAGCAAGGGAACAGAGCCAGAGTCTATAGAAGAGGGAATGACATTGAGAACTGTTTCCACTTCTTTTTTCAGTCTGCTTCTAAAACCCCACGACCATGCAACCAGCACTGATATTAAAAAGTTCCTGACTTTTTAAATATAGTTTAGAAATGAACAGAAATCCGTGGCTGCAGATGTAACGGCTCACACAGATATTGTCTTTCTGTGGATATTGTCTCCAGCTGTTGATGTCCTCTTCTTCTTCTAAGATACATGGCGATCATCCATCCCCTGCAGCAGAGGCTGACCTCCACAGAGACCCGCGTGGTCATCGCTGTGATCTGGATGCTGGCCCTGATCCTCGCCTTCCCTCAGTACTACTTCTCGTCCACCGCCCCGCTGCCAGGACGCACAGTCTGCTACATTGACTGGCCTGAATACGCCTCCGTGGACATCAAGAAGATGTGAGTGAGACAACATGAGGTCTTAGTTTGAATCTGATTCACTGAGTAGAAGACAAAGATCAGCTTAACCATTCAGACTCATTTCAAACATTTGATTCCCTTATTTTACTGAAAATCTTCTTATACTCAACACAAACTCATAATAATGAAACATCATCATATCATACAGCCGACTCGTATGTCCAGCAGATGTTGAGCAACACGTCATGAATGTAGAGCCTTATGTGTGACAGATAAGTTTATGGGGCTCCTGTGGGAAATCTCTGCCTATGTATCTGCTAAATTTTCAATCATGTTCACTAGCTAGTCTCTAATATGTTCCAGCCTATTGTGCAGCGAGTTTATCAGAGCTTGTTAAATGAAAACATCTGTCTGCAGACAACAACAAGCTCGGGGAAAGCACAGACGCTGAACTGACTGTCTAAGTTTCAGCCCATGACACCAAGGGCTCTATTTTCGTGTCTGCCGATGAGGCGGCAGAGAGTGGCGGATACCGCGCAGTGGTATTTTCATCTGGTGGAGCGCAGCGTACAGTCAGTTTGGTATTTTCATGGACTGAGGCGCACTGTGGTCCGCCAAGCTGGTCGGGTGGTGTGGCAGGGGGAGGTGTCGACAGAATCAGCTGGCACAGTGACATTTTCATGCTCACCATCGGCTTGTTGAAAGCTCGCTGATTCAAACCTGGTCAGCTTTCAGCGCAGGTGGAGTGCAGCTGGTCTGATGGTATTTTGGTAGACCGGCGGCGTATCGGCATATGTCACAGATGACTCACCGGCAGGTTTCCACAGTGTAAGGCACATTTCAGTGCAATAAATAATCAACAACAACTAATTTTCTGAGTCAGCACATACATTTAGATCTATATCGATATATTCCGATCTATATCTGATCTGATGAGCGCGTTTGGCACGCGTTTGGACACACAACCTGACCGAATCAACACAGCTGAAACCGCATTAAACTAAATTAAATATCTAGTAAATAAACACACATGATTAAGTTAACAAGATATGTAATTCGTCTCCCTCCCTTTCTTTCTACCTCTTACTCTTATTTCTCACGCAGCTCGACCTGGACATGTGTCCATGTCCTCTCCCCGTCCTGCAGCAGCTGCTGCTGCGGCAGCTGAACAGATAAGTTATTTCAGTGATCAGATGAGTTATTTACTTTAAGCCTACATATGAATATTATAATATTCAGTTTTGTGAGGCAAATTTATTTTATATGCAAACATCTATGAAAGAAAGAGCCAGGCCACGGAGCGTGATGCGTCCTTTACGCACAGATGGTTCCGATTTTAATGCCTTTTTTGGAATTTATGTTGTGATCTGTGCGCACAACCCACCTTTGTCACGTGAGGTTTGAATATATGCAACTTTATGTGAGTGTCTTTATTTGTGGAAAAGGGTGTTTGTCTTACCAGTGGGTCCAACATTACACACACCAAATCCATCTGTGCTCATATGAGAGAGTGTGAAGGACGCCCAATGCAGCGCTTACAGCGACACTTGTTGAGGGGCTGCCTTCTGTCGCCAATGTGTGGCATTATGTCTTCAGACATCTCTTGATCTCTTTGACTACTTCACGAAAATTGTAATACGCCTCGCCGGTGGTGGATTTAAAGGTAATGAGAGGAGCTTATGTTATTGGTCAATGTAGGTCTCGGCTGTGTTAAACCCACTCCATGCCCTCTCTCCTCCCTCCCTAAGACTTAGGCCGCTGGGAGGAGCTGAGTTAGGGAGGGGGGATACTTACGCCAGGCTGCACCGCTCACTAAAATACCAAATTGTGCTTGGGAACGCCTTGTCGGCGCAGCGGACCTGACTTATGCCGCACCTGCGCCACGTCTACGGCGAAGCATGAAAATAGATCATCGAGCTGAGGACACTTAGAGCTGCAGTCTGTGATGTTATCTCAATATGCAGCAGCTCTGCTTCTCCTGTCTGTTGTAGAAACTCCTGCAGGTGGAGTTTGTATCTAGGATGGATTACTGGATTTCAAAACAGATTTTCCAACTCATTTTGGCTGATATTGATTATTGTTGATGTAGGAGACATAATATTGCTTTGCTTATTGGTTATCCTGTGTTCAGTTACTTTTGTGTGGTTGTTATCAGTTTCGCTGGGTTTGGCTCATGTGGGCACTGTATTTGAAAGCCGGTAAGTTATATAAGGGACAGTCTCACCTGCACTGAGGTGGAGAGGTGATCTTAGGTAGCTGTAATTTTTGTTGACCGCACTTTATGTTCTTTGTTTGCAATGATACACGTCGCAAAGTGTACACATATTCTATCACATGTGCGTGTGTAATCATTGGCAATTGTGGAACCTTTTTTTCTGTTACCAAAGCTCCGAAAACGTCAATAAACTGTGGGCGCTTCTTTGGGACAGCAGTGGCATGTCACGGAAATATACAGGACCTATGCTCTGCCTCAAGCGACTTTTTCAAAGGTACTAGGAAATAGTGCTGCACAATATTGGAAAAAACTAACATTGCGATTTTTTTCAACCCTGCAATATATATTGAGATGTTAAAAAATACAGGAATTTTCACCAGATGACCTGAATAGCACTTTATGCTGAAATCTTGAGGACAGTTAACTTGCACTGATCTTGCCTTTTTTTGTGAATGTTAGTAGAATGGCTTCTGTCTGTCTTAAAGATATTTTTAGCATACTTCTATTGTGCTGGGACTTGTTATCTCTCGTTGTGGCAACTGATGAAAGGCACTGCCGACACAGAACACGTGTTTGGTCGATATCATCCTTGTTATAACCAAAATAATTCCAGATAACTGACATTGATTTTTCTTTTTGGCAACAAGTCTTCATTTTCGGTGGTTTTCTCTTGTTTGTTGCTCCTTTTGCAATCGTTGTTGTTGTTACCAGTGTTGTGCCGAGAAATGCGCGTCCTCTGAGAGTTGCATGCACCTTGCGGAAACGCGCACCGCTTATAATAGAGTTATCCACGGAAATGTTCGATTTAAAACCCATACAATTCTTATGGTTTGTGGGGCTAAACAGTGATGAGGAATGTACTGAATGTAATTCTTGGCGGGCATGCTGTCTCGGTACAACACCGGTAGCGCCAGCGACTCACTCCATGTGCAGGGGCGTGGTTTACTCCTCTCTGATTTTGATTGATAGCTGGTAGGGGGTAGTCTGGTTGGCAACTGAGTAAAGAACAAATGTGACTGGTGGATCGCTGCACAGCACATGCAGGGTCACATGCAGTGTATCTCAGTCAGCTACCCTTGAAATTAGATGAGTTCATTCGCCTCTGACATCACAGGCTCTGCGATGTGACTATTGCACACATGTACATCGCGATGACCATGCTCAAACAATATATTGTGCAGCCCTACTAGGAAAGCCGCAATAATTGATGCCGATACAAACAGCTTGTGATTGAGTTTACCTCTAACTCTTATTCTGACAGCCTGTTTACTTTACAACAGGTCAGATTATACTGATATTCAGAATTGACTTTTGAAGCTGTTGTCTGCAGATACAAATATCATACTGATAATATCTTGTTTGGCTAAGCTCACTGTTATTTTGCTCCAGCTCACAGTCTGATTCATGTTGCCCATTAATACTTGCACACCAAGTTTGCACCTCTGTGAAGACAAGTTGTCAGCATCTGTGCTCTCTGCTGACTGAGCTTACATCTGTCCATATCTGTCCATCAGTGTGTAAGACGATGAAGAACACTCTTCAGAGAAGAATGAAGTTTTACCTTTTATATCAGGATGGATCCTGCAAAGAGAAGCTTGTTTCACTAGGAGAAAATCAAACATCCATTACGGCTGCACTGACGTGTTATTTCGTGTTGATTAATCTATCAAACCTTTTTTTAATTGAGAGAAACATTTTTTAAAATCAGCTTTTAAAACTTGAATGTTCAAAAATTTCCCATCATCTCCATTTTAAAACAAACACAGTTTTATGACAGAGGAGGACCGCAGGGCTTAACCCCCAAACTAAAAAAAAGCCAAATCCTTACTGTTAATATCGCTCTGAGAGTTTGACGAGACTTGATGTCAGTTTAAGATATTTCATTTCTTTAAGCCATTTTCCCTGATTTTTTCAAAGAACTGTCTCTTTATGTGACCGGACATGTGTGATCTCTCATCAAGGTTTTGCTCAAACGTGTAATACATTTGTAATACATTTCTTACATTTACAATGTCATTTAGCGGACGCTTTTATCCAAAATGACATACATATCAATCATACACCAGTGGAGGACACACACTAGGAGCAAGGGGGGTTAAGTGTCTTGCCCAAAGACACAACGGACAGACTAGGGATACGGGGAATCAAACCACTGACCTTCCAGTCATTGGACTGGAGCTACAGCCAACTTTACTTGAATTAGTACAACCTGAGGAATCATAAAATCTGTCCCCCCATGATGTCAGATTAAGTCCTGAACAGATATTAAACAAACTATACAAAAAAAACAACAACATACAAATCAACATAGATATACATTAATTGATGTACAGTATAAATCCATTTCAATCTGTTGTGTATCCCTGTAAGTAAAAACTGTCATCCCAGATCAACAGAGATCACAGATTCAGCCTCTGATTGGTTTACAGACCACAACAAAGATGGCCGCTTCCGTTGAGTGTAACCAGCTAACAAAAAAATAACAGAGTTTAACAGACAGTGAGGCTAACGTTGGGATTATCATACTTGTCTTCTTTGCACAGCAGTAAATCATTTATCCCCTCAGCGATCAGGCAGCTAAATGCTGAGAAGTAGCGGATTGGTGGCCTGTGTTGGATTTTGGGGTGCTGAAATTGTGGTTTCAGGATTGTTTTGGTTCTTATTTTATTCTTTTTTATTGCATCATTCCTTACTGCATTCAAGTCATTCCACTGTGAATGTTTTGCATAGGCTATATATTTATTATCTAGTTATTTATTTATTGCTGATTTGTGGTGCTGACAGGGGAATGCCTGGTATTTGTTTGTTCCTGATCGTTGTCTGTTCCTTGATTATTTAACAACAAGGCAGGTTACTGTAAAGTAAATTGCCCTTCAGGGTTTAATAAAGTTGTTTCAATCTGAATCTGAAATCAGTCCCTCATGTTCAACGTTTTCTTCCTGTCTTCATGCTAAGCTAACTCGCTTCAGCTCTGCAGACATGTGACCGCTGTGAACCGCCTCTCTTCAGTTTCAGATGGACAGAAAAATGACCAAGCTCCTTCTTCATGAGATGATGTAGTTGAAGCTGATTAGGTTTTCATGAAGTAAAGGAAGAGCTGTTGTTAGCTGGTGCTGCATATGTAGAGTGTGTGACATGCTGTCTTCTCCCATGGTTAGCATACGTATCCCACAGCAGCAACACCTCCTTGTTGCTAATCAGGTTGGATCTCTTGTCGCCCATTCTTAATGAAGTACCTGATGCTGCAGGGACGCTGCAGTGTGACTGAACCAGTGTCATAATCACTTTCTGTGGGGTTAATTCAGTAAATGAAAAAACACACCCCGCAGCTGAAACCACTCCTGTTCAGGTGATGAATCTGACCATGAGGATCATTTTCACGCCCGGTTGATTTCTTTTGGAAATATCTGCGATGCCAAAAGAGGAAACGGGTGTTTGATGAATGTGCGTCCATTTTTAATATCACATTACCGCCCCTGACTGCCTCCGCTCAACCTCCCTGCAAATTAAAGCATCTTTTATTTAGTGGTCTTCATTTCCTCCCCCTGAGTATTTACAGACCAGGAGATGAAGATCACTTCCTTGTTGGTACATATTCAGGAGTGTGTGTGTGTGTGTGTGTGTGTGTGTGTGTGTGTGTGTGTGTGTGTGTGTGTGTGTGTGTGTGTGTGTGTGAGTGCATAAATGAATGTTAATACGCTGTCTGTGATTTGATGGAGGATAGGCGTCAGACAGCTCTTTGCAGGCATGAGATTAATATATTCATGGAAGCAGCAAACAAATGTTAGAGGTTTGCAGCTTTGGGAGTTCTCTGAATGATCAGAACCAAAGACCTGGACCGTGTGACACTGGTCCAAGACTGGGACTGTGGAAACAGGTGTCTGAGATGAGCCTCCTCTGAAGGTCACAGGGTCAGGAGCAGCTCCTTCACATCAAAAAAGCCGGCCTGCTGGACGCCTCCCTTTACAGGTGTTAGGTCGAGTCCAGCAGGAGGGAGACCCTGAGCAGGGCTGGATGAAGAACCTTAAAGTGCAGATATCACTCGCCTTTCCTCATCTGCTGCAGTCTTCCTCACCAGTCGACATCCCTGATGTTGTTAGACTGCCTTCCTCTCAGTTTTTGTTCATTTCAACGGGAAACAAAAGACTGATTTCCCCCAGTTAATGTAGGAACCAGGATTAGTGGGAAAATAGGTCAGAGTAAAAGTACAAATCTTATCTGAGAAATGTAGTGAAGAAAAAGTAGAAGTTGTCAGAAATAAAGCAGCATTTAGGTCAGTTAGGTCTCTCTGTCCAACCTAGCTTACATAACCTGGGTGTTGTGCTTGACAAGGACATGTCCTAAGACCACCACTGTAAACAGTTGGTGAAGAATTGCTTTTATCATCTGTGGAACATCACTAAACTGAGGTCCATGATTTCAAGACCTGAAATGGAGATGATAATTCATGCCTTTGTTTCATCTCGCATGCACTACTGTAATGCTCTTTTTATGTGTTTTAACAAAAAGGCTGTAAATAGCCTTCAAACTGTTCAAAATGCGTGCTTGTAACTGGATCCAAGAAAAGGGACCATATCACCTCAATTTTATATTCCCTCCACTGGTTACCAGTTAATTTTAGGATTCATTTTAAGATTTTAGTTCTTGCTTTTAGAGCCCTCTATGATCAAGCTCCCTCATACATCACTGAGCTACTGAGACCCTATTCCCCCTTACGTTCACTAAGGTCATCAGACCATAAACGCCTGATGGTCCCTCACACCCCTTTTTAAACATGAGGTGACTGCTCTTTCCAGGCCAGTGACCCTTGCCTCTGGAAAGCATTTCCATTGACCTTACACAGCATAGAGTCTCCTAAAAGTTTTAAGCAAGAACTTAGACAGGCTTTTTACTGATGTTGACATTGTGGGGCCTCTGTGAAGTACTTGTATCTGTGCCATTATATGTATTGTTTTTGTCTGTATTCTACTGCATTTTATCCCTATTGTAAAGCAGTTTGTGATTTTATCTATGAAAAGTGCTATATAAATTAAATGTACTTACTTACTTACTTAGATATAAAAACTCAAGTCAAGTACAGATACTCCCCCAAAATACCAAAGTACAGGAACAAAAATGGGCAGAAGAAGATAGGACAAATGAGCTCAAAAAACATTGAGGACTCATCAGCTGTGGTGGTGGGCTCGAATCTGTTCAGATACAAAGAAAGTCCAACAACTGGTCCAATCCTTGGGTTTGTTTGAGTCCTCTTTATTAACAAAGGGGTCTTACTGAGTGAAATGACCTTGGAGGTCTTTGAGAGTCGGACGCTTCCTTTATTACCTCCTTAGCAAAGGATACACCAGAGCATCCTTTAGGAAAGGAGAGAAGGAAAAGAACCCAAGAGCAAGACAACAAACTCCGGGTCAATAATGCTGTCTTTGTCTTTTTCCTAACTCCTGATAAACACCTTTGGTTCGTTTGGATTTAGTTTTTGGACTTTTCAAATATACCCTGCCTGATTTGCATGTTTGTGAAAGACTCCACCGCCCACTGTCTCCAGGAAGATTCAGTCTTCAGATTTCTAACAGTTTAAGAGTAAAAATCTGTGCGTGAAGTTTCAAACTGATTTTAAAAATGGAATTAAGACGAGCTGCAGTGGGAGAGAAGAGTAAAACTTTCATGTCCCTGTGAGGCAGTTTGAAAACAAGCTGAACATCCACACCTTCATCACACCATCTCCACCCATCACAGACCATCTGTACCTGTTCAGACTGAACCTTCACCTTGATGGAAGCATCTGGAATTCCTGCAAAAAACAATAAACTCTGACTTCAAGACAGTGCTCACCTTAAACATGTGCTGAAGGTCTCCAAGAGGGACACCAGTGATCCTACAGCACTGTCTGATCATCTCCACAAGTTTGGTCGTATTCTTAAGACGGAGACGGTCAAACCAGTAAATCCAAGAAAGCAAAAGAACAGAGATATTTGTGTTGTTGCTCTGCAGGCTCACCTTTAATCTCAGAAGAAGAAGGAGAAGAAGAAGAAGAAGAAATGGGTCTTCATCTCTGAAAATCGGTCGACATTTCTCAGGTCAGAGCCACAGCTCAGAGGAACGATCAGTCACACGGTTAACAAAGTCATTAAGGACTGAGCTGTGATCTTGTTTCTAAGACCCCCAATAACAGAGTCATCAGCACTCTTAAGGATGATCCATGGATGCTCTGGCGTTCACTAGTACCCAGTGGAGGATAACCCTCAATTTCCACCGCATCCGGAACGGCTATGAAAAGGCCGTATCCTTAGATTGCCAGTGATCGTCACCATTCAACTCATGTGTCAATTTCCGCCAACTTCTTTCCGTTTCACTGCGGATCGGCAAACTCTGTAGCTAATCACAAGAGGTCTATTTTTTTTGGACACCGGAGCATGTCAGATAAATTAAGCACAGATTAACCCATGCCGGAAAGGAATTCGGGCACAGACACAAAATAAAACATCCAGCTTCTTTTCAAAATAAAACACTCTGTGTTTCAGGCGGATCATATTTCACACCATGCAAACGGGCGGGGACGAACAAGTGAAAGGTTTTTAGACGTCATTTCACCCCGATGACACCATGGATGAGGAGATACTGATTCTAGAAGTCTAGAAGTAGATTTCCTCCTCTGGAAGGACACAGTCTCCTGCTTATATGGTTAGCCTATGTGTCTGTCTTTATACAGACAACTTGTTATTGCGCGATTGCATGTGAATTTGTGGGTTCGTGTAAATTCTTGCGATTCCTGCTGTCCGTAATCCGCCATGAAATTCGCCTCACAAACAAATGTGGTAGGAATTGGTGTATGGCGAAAATCACCACCATTTTGGATCAGAGCCATTCCGGATGCGGTGGAAATCCCGGGTAAGACCTCTCTGCTCAGGGTTGGTTAAGCCGGACCACTGAGATCTGTTTGTTTAAAAGTACTATCATCTATATTAGAACCAGATAAAAGTCTACGAGCAAGGACGTGTGGTTGGATCCTTTCCAAAGCAGAAGAAAAATCAATCAAAAGCAGCCGGGCATGAGCCTTTTTCTTCACAGCGTCCTCACGCCCTCACAGCGCTGAAGAAAAACTGTGAATGATCCAGATTTACAGAGAATGAAATTCCTAATTTCATAATATTCTCTCGTTTCTATTACACAAGAAGCATGATGGCCAGTATTCATTCTGTGTCTAAGGAGACCCGGGTTCCACCACTAGAACTGGTTCTATGCATGTAGAAGCTCCAGTCAGCCCTGAACCGGCCTTCAGCATTCTGCACATGCTCCACAGTCTGCACGCCTGGCGTCGACCCTGAATTCAAACACATGCGAGAGATAGCATGGACGTCATAGAGTTCATAGGAAAGGTAAAGGGCCGTAAAGTTTCCATGTTTAGCCCCTGCTAACCGGTTTGGCAATTGTTTTGGTCTGTGATGAATCTGGTCACCTGGGAGAAAGCTCAACAGTAACAAGCTGAAAGGTTTTTTTTTACGACCTACTGACACAGGGACCAGAGTCCCTACAGAGACTTGGTGCCACATGTCGGGACAGGGACAGCAGCGCTTTAACCATTGCTGGAATAAACTAAAAGTTTATCTTTAACTTCTGAGTAAATATCAGAGTGAACAAACTGTCTGTGTACTGCTGTCCTTTGGACCGGTAAACTCTCAGAGTACACAGAGTATTCCTCTCATTAAAAGACTTATTTTATAGCCAACACGATTGAAAGTTTACAACCTGTCAGTTTGTTTAAGTCTTAACGAACAGAAACGGTTTACAAATGACTTTAAATTAAATTAATGCAAAGACAACAAGTTTGTGAGTCTGATAGAGGAACCGTGTTCTGTTCTGTGCTGATAGAGGATTTCAACTGCTCAACAGTTCAGGGTCTCCTTGGTCCTGTTTTTGGGGTCCCGATGCTCCAAATGTGTTGTGACAACTTTGACAAAGCTCTATAAAAATCTACTGCATTAACACAGTTTTCTTCGTCCCCTCAGTCCACCTTAAATAGACTCAGGTCCAGAGAAGTCTCTTGTCTTTCTGGTTCTATCTGGTCTCCTCTTTCCTGATTCAGTTTGAACCTCATTAGTAGATGCAGTGATGAACTGTTAGCTCAAATAGTCTCTCAAAGAGTCCTGAACCTCTTTCATCTTTCCTTCTGAGAGACTCTGCCTCTCTAAATCCGTCTTAGACCCAGTCATGTGACTAACCTATTGAACTTTTACCTTATTAGTTTGAGATGTTCCTTCAGATGTTCAGTCTAGGGCAGCACGATATATTGTTTGAGCATCGTCATCACGATGTACGTGTGCACAATAGTCACATTGCAGAGCCTGTGATGTCGGAGGCGACTGAACTCATCTGACTTCAAGGGTAGCTGACTGAGATACACTGCATGTGACTCTGCATGTGCTGTGCAGCGATTCACCAATCACATTCGTCTTTACTCAGTTGCCAATCAGACAACCCTGCCAGCTGTCAATCAAAATCAGAGCGGAGTAAACCACGCCCCTGCACATAGCCTGCACATGAGTTGCTGGCGCTGCCGGTGTTGTGCCGAGAAACGTATACCTACCGAGAATTACTTTGGGAACATTACTCATCATTGTTTAGCCTCACAAATAAGAACTGTATGGGTTTTAAATTGTACATTTCCATGGACCACTCTACTAGCGGTGCGCGTTTTGGAAGGTGGATGCAATTCTCGGCAGGCATGAGTTTCTTGGCACAACACCGGTAACAATAACAACAAATGCAAAATGAGAAACGAACAAGAGAAAACCACTGAAATTGAAGACTTGTCGCCAAAATGAAAAGGAAAGTCAGTTATCTGGAATTATTTCAGTTACAAGAAGGATGATGTCGACCAAAACACTGTTCTGTGTTCATCTGTTGCCACAATAACGTCCCAGCACAATAAAAGCTAAAAATATCTCTAAGACAGACAGAAGCCATTCTACTAATATTCACTAAAGAGGGAAGGTCAGTGCAGGTTAAATCCGCAAGATTTCAGCATAAAGTGGTATTCAGGTCATCTGCTGAAAATTTCTCAATTTCTTAATATCGCAATATATATCGCAGGGTTGACAAAAATTTCAATGTTAGTTTTTTCCAATATCGTGCAGCCACAGTTCAGTCTCAAAATTAGATTTTTATTTTGCAGTTTTTTTCAGTTGACAGTAGTGGTGCAAGGGATCACAAAATTCAGATCGTTCCTCAGATCAAGAGTCACGGATCTGATCATTTTTCAGCAAAAAGCAAAAAAAAAACAAAACAAAACAAAACAAATAAACCTAAGTTTTGTCTGCTTATTAAACACTTGAATTATTAAATTAAAATATATAAACGTAGTGCACAAGGCATAATATATATTTTTTAACAATTATTAATGAAAAACAACTTAAAGTGCAATATATAGGCATGGGTGAAGAGTGATTGAAGATCACTTAGAAAAAAATATATATTTTAAGACTTCGAGATTAAAGTCATTACTCACAGGGTAAAGTTACCTGTTGTGGAGGAGAGTTGTTAAAATGAGGGCTATGGAGCATTTAGATGAATTGTACTTCAGTATAGGTTTCACAAACATGGAGTTACTTCCTTCGGTACAGCAGCATTACGTTGTCATGAGTATCAAAACTGGAAAAAGAATATATGAGAAATGCATCTTTTCCACAGAGAAAAACAGCTGGACATTAAGGGGAAAAGACTAGAAATGGCTGTACAGAGGCTAAATCCATCAAGACAGCAGTTAATATATCATAGGGCTTTAGTTTATCATACAAGTCAATATGCCTTGAGGTGTTAAGGGCCTCTGCAGGTGTAGGTTACTGACCTACTGTCATCGTTGGGTCTTTTTCGTCTTTATGAAACCTGCTTTATTTCAGTGAGTGTCTGTCTTCAAAATCTACCCAGATACAGCAATGCTACGTTTTGATTGGCTGTTAGGTACACATACTATATCTGATTAGTTTGCGCACGGCACGCAGCTTCTTAACTCGGGGGAACTGACTTCATTTCTACCTGTTCCATTGTTAAAGAGGTGCAACTTGGTGGACGCCACTGTGATAATTTAAATGAGTGAGAAATACAATGTGTGAGCGTGTGAACGGGTGGGAATGTGTGTGTCACACGCCAAATGCGCAAGACTTGAGAGCCCTGAGTTGATTTCAGGCTTTAAAAATCATCCAAACATCAAAATCTTTTTTTCACATTTTACCCAGAATAGTACTTCAGGATCACACCAGAGGACCGCTTTGCTATATTACCAGAAACATGCACTTTAATTTGACCTTATGTCCATACCGTTTTATCATCGCTGATAAAGAAAATCTTCAATCATACTTAACTTACTGACGTCGTGTTCTGACCTGTTAACTTTGGAGTCAATAACTCAGCATCCTCAAAAAAAGGTCAGTCAATACCTGGTAACATGTCCAGATTGGACTGTCTCAGACATACTGGTACGTTTAACCAGCAGCTGGTGAAATCTATGTCTTAGGTCAGGTGAGTCTATGTGAGAATGAAACAGGAAATATTCACCACATGTGTGTGGGCGGGCGGAGGTGATAACATTTATATTATGGGACTGGTGTGAAACCCAGCAGAGTGGCACGTGACAGGATGGATGAAGAAAAACATCAGCAGCTGAAGAGGACAGTCATTATCGGGATAAGGAGGGAGAAATCTTTGCACACGAGTCCGTCTACACGTTGCATAAATATAAATGTAAAAACTGACACCACCACAGAGCAGGTCTCTGAAGCTTTGTCTGCCATTATGTTGTAAATGTCACTGTGGCCTTCCCAGCATGCTTTCAATGCCATGTCAAGCCTCCTGAGACCCTCAACCCCCACTCACACCACCACTCATTTCCAGGCCTGCACCAGTGTTATACCAAACTGTGTTTCCTGTAGATATGTGCCTCTGTGTGTGAATCCTGGGCGCCCGTCAGCACTGAAGGTTTATTAGATTAACGATATCGGTCCATCGACGTACACTTCCCCTGAATTTTGTCTAAGAGTCTGAAAACATGCCCTCATACTCTGAGGATATGAAGATAGCAACAGTGTAATATAAAGTCAGGCTGAGCTGGGGGGTGCATTATTAGAAACGGGATATTGGTGAACTGAAATACTTTTCCCAGGACTGAGCGTCCTCTTCATTCAGACAAACCATGAAGCAGCTCGGCCTACAGTACATCAGCTGATCTGAACACTAGCTGACAGTTCAGTCAATAACTCCAGACACATCCAACAATGTCGAAATGCATCGTCCATATTAACTGCTTCACAACCCGGCTCCTCAGTTTAATAACCAGTCTAATCTGACTGGGACTAGGACTGTACCTGCTCTTCCTGCCTCCACTCCAACGCCGTCTTTTTATGCTGGGTCTGTTTTAGAAATCGGCGCTGCTCTAAAATAACCAAAAATCTGCCTTCAGCTAAATATTGCAGTGATTTCCTTGAGGGGGGGAATTCTGACTCTAGATTTACCCTTGTTCTTCCATCGCCTTTCCTAGATACTACGTGTGTGTGACAGTGCTGATCTACTTCCTGCCACTTTGCATTATGGGATGTGCGTACACGTCTGTTGGTGTCACCCTCTGGGCCAGTGAGATTCCTGGAGACTCATCTGAGCACTACAAAGAGCAGCTCATCGCCAAACGCAAGGTGAAACTCACAAACCCTCTCTTTTGAGTTCCTCTGCAGCTGCTGTGCTCTCTCGGGATTCACTCTGATTTAATTTGATGGTCTTTTAATCCTCGTCTGAAATCCTCCAAACTTAACAGATTATTTTAAACCCCACTAATGTCTCCTTTGTTCTTCCTGCGGCAGGTGGTGAAGATGATGATAGTGGTGGTGTGTACTTTCGCTGTCTGCTGGCTGCCCTATCACATCTACTTCTTACTGCACCAGTTTTTCCCTGATTGTTTTGAGCAGCGCTACATCCAGCAGGTCTACCTGGCCATCATGTGGCTGGCCATGAGCTCCACCATGTACAACCCCATCATCTACTACTGCCTCAACAGCAGGTACCAGTCTGCTTCTTCATATTTTACTGTCATAAAGACAATCTGCCCACCACTGTGGGTGTTCTTCCCCTATCTGTGGTATGTGTTAAGATCTCCTCCTGACATGTAATCTGTGTTTGTGTTGTTAATCCTGTCCTCCGGGTTAATCCACGCTGTTATGAAAAATGTGCTCCCTTACTTTCAGGTTCAGAGCTGGTTTCCAGCAGGTGTTTTGTTGCTGCGCTCCCACCGTCAGCAAAGAAGAGCTGGAGCTAAAATCACCACGTTACCTGCAAACCCAGGTGTGTATCAGGCTCCTCTCCTTTGGGTCTCCCAGACCCAGTGTCTGTTGATGTGAACAGTAGAACACCACAAGAGATAGAACCATTGATTCTGTTGAGTCAAGCAGTTTTCTTGTATTAAAAAACAAAACAGAGTGTCACTCTTGAAAACCTCGCTTACAATGCCTCTGGTGGTCATAAACTGCACACTGCATAGGAAGTTTTGCTTAAGTACAAGAGGATGTGGCATTATAATCCATCTTTAACACAGCTAATAAATAACAACATTAACTCTCTGTGGAAACACTGATTTTTGATAACCTGAATCTGCTTGTTCGAGGGTATTCCTCTGAGGGCTAAACCTGGCACTGGCCTTCTCAGGCTGATTAAAGGGCGAGGCTGAACCTTAAAAGGGTACCTGCAGACTGCCATGAAAGACTTTGAAGTGGTTATCCTTGAGACAAAAAAAAAAAAACTACCAACACAGTATTCACATGAAAGAAAAACATCAGAGGAGCATTTAGAAGGCACTTTGTTTACATGTATCCACAAAAAACAAAAACAAATACAGGGCACTTTGTTTACATTTTAACTCTTAGAAGTGCATCCAGAGTAATACGTCTATATTTGATTCATTTAGAGGTACTTTATAAACTTTTTTGTCCGCTACAAAGAGCAGTCTTAATGCACTCTGTTTACAAAGGCATTTTTCCTCATTTTTCACTACAAGGGTACCAGAGAGCGCCTTTTTTTGGTTTTATCTACTACAAAGGGATTCAAGAGTGCTTTTATGGGGCTCTCAGACATCACCCCCCTACACTCTACATCACTGAATCCTGGCAAAGAGGAAACAAAAAAGGAAGAACTTTCTTTCAGCCTTTTGGTCGGCATAAATAAACCAAATATAGAGGAGCTGCTGAAACACTGCTCACTCAGCTGCTCTAAGTTTATAGGCTTCCTTTAACAAGAAGAAGCGGTCCAGCATATATCACAAACTGTATTATGCTAACAGAATAAATGTGTGACTCTCATTTATCAGAACCAAGATGGGGAAATCAAGTAGTACGATTATTTTACTGAAATATCTTTAAAGACATACTAACTGAATGTGTTATCTGGTTGATTTATCTCTAACACAAACCCTCTTTATCTCCAGGTCAGCATATGTCGAGCCAGTCGGATGGAGACAGTAGTGTCCACGTCTGTCCCACCTGTAACCTCAGAGCACAGCAGGACAGAGCTGCCATCCTTCACCTCTCACACCGAGCCTCTCAGGACGTCCAACGGGTCAGGTTCAGAGACATTCACCAAGAGCCCCAACAGTCCCAGTCCTGAGTAAAGCAAAACCAGCAGTCAGAGTGAGGGCTGTGAGTCTGCCCGGCAGAGGCTGAAATCTGCCATCGACTCTCCAACTGTACAGGAGACAGTGACATTTAGGCCCCCTGAGTACCTCTGTTGAACTAATGAAGACCTTATTTAGCTATGTGAGAAGCTGCTCTGATCAGTCATGTGATGTGAAAGCATGACTTCTGTACATTTACTGAAGGTTGTTTTTTTTTCCTTCAGCAGATCTGGTTTTGCTTTTATCCAAAATTTCCAAATGCTGTTCTCGAGGTTTCTGATCATGTGATCCACCATTAAAGATGTTCCTTTGGGGTTAAACAACTGATAGGTGCTGTAGTTTTGGACTTGGTTTGGTAGTTTGCTCCAGCCTGCAGCAGCAGAACAGGCTGAAATGAAAACAACAATATGATCCGAGATAAATGTGCTGATTATGGTAAATCCTCCAAAAGACTCAGATTGTGATTTTAAGCGTCTGATAGCTTAACGGAGAGGATCCCTGCAGAGAGATCCTTCATTAAAGAGGATAAAGTGGATTTTTCTGAACAGGAAGCAGGCGTCACATCGTTTAACCCTCCTCCTGTGTTAGGTTCTGCACAGACCCATTTTTGTTTTTAAATGCTAAAAAGAACCACTTAAATTAACTTTTTTTAAACTTAAAGACTTTTTGACTGTCAGGAACCTTTATTCAAAAAAAAAAATAATTAAATTGACTGAATTATAAATTGCTCTTTTTTTTCAAATTATGGCACTTGTCGTGTTAGGGTCGCTGTTGACCTGGTTAGATTAATATCTAATAATTAGGGCAAAAACTGAAATCACATGTGCATTGACAGTCAGATCCTCTTCAGGAAATTCTCATTTTTCCATGTTTTTCTCTGCACAAAAAACAACGTCAGACATGTGAGATCAATTCAGTGTAGATGTCTGTGTGAGGGCTATACTAACAAAGAAAGGCCCAGAGACCCACACCAAAAATATTATAAGCAATATTTTCATGGACAATGAAGCCTAACAAGGTAACCTAGAGATGAGAAACAAATTAGATGATGAAGAAATGTTTAGTGTAGTTTACAGTTGATTTAAGACATGGGTCAAAACCGACCCTTAACATGGTGGGTGCGTAGTAAAAGCTAACACAGGAGGAAGGTTAAAAACCTGTGGCTGTTACCATGGTTACTGAGATTATCCTAATTACTCACAAACATCCAGGGATACCTGGTTAATACTGCAGCATTTGCACTTCTCAGGAGTCAAGCTTGTATGTCATGTATGCGTGTCACCGTCGTTCAGGTGTAGGACTAGTCTTTAATCTGAGTTTGTGAAAAGTGCAGTGACGTCAGTATTTTGCATCACAGTGATAATTGAACATTAACAGCCCTAAAGTTGCTGTTTGTCAGTGTAACAGCTGATTTTGGTTTTTAAATAAGAACACCTCCTTCCTGTTTAAGATATTTTTGGCCTTTTTTAAATACAACAGCTGAAAGGAGGCAGGAAATGGAAGGAGAGAGTGGGGCTGCAAAGGGTCGAGGTCAGGAGTTGAACAAGTGATCCCTCCAGCGAGGACTTCAGCCTCTGTACAAGGGGGGGGATCCTTCTGTGGTTTTGTCTTAGAGAAACGATCTGAACCTGTCAGAGACAAAACTCAACTTTTATAGGATACACTCCGATCTGCGATGTGTTAACGCATCAATCATGTTGCAGCCATTACAGCCTGTTTCACTGGTGCAGATGGAGGTAATGGGCACATCCATTTTTGAGTTATTTAGACCCCAAAACATATAAAACCCTGGACTCCGCTCTGGAGGATTCCCTGACAGTAGAAACTCCGCGGTCGACCTCACACTCGCTAGTTTCATTATCCAACATGTTTGCGACTCCGTCACTTGACCGCCGGCACACTGAAGCCAGTTTTGGAGAGCACGAGCCCCCGCTTCCCCTTGGCAACAGTGTCACGTCAAGTTGAGTTTGTGACGCTGTGTTTGTGTTGTGTGGAAACAGGCTGATATCTGTGTGTGTGTGTGTGTGTGTGTGTGTGTGTGTGTGTGTGTGTGTGTGTGCAGCACCTGTTGGACAGGATTAGCCCCTTGTTTTGACAATGTGTGGAGCAGGGTTCAGCGTGCAGCAGCCGGGTCACAGGGCAGCTAAATATAGGGAAGGAGATGGAGAAAGGAGACACATATGGAGGGATTGATGAAGAGCTGAAGGGAAGAAAGGACGACAGGAAAACATCCATGGCTGCGTGGACTGCATGTGCTTAAACGCTCTTCTTTAGAGGGAGGAGGGGGAGCGTCAGCAGGGAGGAATGATGCTATTTAAACCTCTCAGTCAGACAACAGCTGCACGCCCCAACAAAGTCCACGTCCTGCTCTGTTTACCTGTTTAAATGCTCTGCTGCGTGTATGAGAGTGTGTGGTGAGAATACAGAACAATGGGAGGCCAAATACAACAGGACAGTTAGTTTCTCAGCGTCAGAGAAGCAGCAGCAACTTTCCTCTTCTGTTACAGTGGAAGTTCAAAATCAGGCACTTCTGTGAGTTTGAAAAGTTGTGAATGTCACTTTGTAGTTTAAATCAAGGCGGATTTGGTTAATATTTATCATTTAACGAGTTTAGATTTGTGGGTAATTTGAGCTGCAATTTGAGAGAAATCTTCATCTTAAAAATCTCATTAGCACTTGCAAGAGAGCAAATATTCAATTAATTCCAGACTAACCATGGATTAATTTTTTATTTCATGGATGCCTTTTCTCTCCCAATTTAGCTGCACCATCAAATTGAAATGATAACGAGAAAGAGATAATTTGACTCACCAGAAACTGATAACAGCTCATGAACCGACTGATTTGAACAAATTATTTGATGATCAGCTTAATGACTTTAACTGATGATGTACCGGCTTCGTTTGCTGCTCTCTGGGGCTGATTTAACGGACAGTATCACCACATGTGATGATCTGAGCTGATGTAGCCTAGCTGGGCCATCCTGTTGCATGAATCACTTGCCGAAGGAAAGACTTGGGAAGGAACGGCAAGTGATTCACGCAACAGGATGGCCCAGCCAGGCTAGAGCTGATGTGCTTCTGTTTTTTATGATTTTCATCATTAGTATAGTATGGAGACCTCTGGTGACTCATGAGTTACCCCCTGAAGACAGTGGTGAGTGACAGCCACCCTCTGAGATAAACTCTTGACATGCTGGAAACAGGTGTACAGAGCAGATCTGTGTGTTCCCAGATCATTTCACGGCTTTTTAGTTTTTTAATAATTCAAGGTAAAGGCGTTTTGTTTTCATTGTGGCTGTTCTTGTCTGAATGAAGCTCCAGCTGCAGGTTCAGAGGTTCCTGCCTCAGTGACAGTCATCTTCTGTCCCCCAGGAACCTTGAATGATCTGACTGTTGACTGCATCAAACTCTGATGTTTACAAGACCCAACGATCGTGGTCTGTGGACTGGGAATGGGACCCCAATCATCGGTCAATGATGATCTACCACTGTGCTATAAAGATGGGCGTTTCAGTTTTAGACTCTTATGGGGAATATGCAGCCACCCTCAAGTGGACACTCTGGGTACTGCATTCTCAGCACTTTTGCCTTTGCTTCACTGTTCCACACCGGAGGTTACTGCTCAGTAGTTTCACCTTGAAGCCAATTTCCATTTTAATATCTGCTGACAGTTAAACTGAAAGGACGTGTCAGACACACACCTGAACTCCACAGGTGGACCGTTCTGACCGGACTGCTGTGTTAAAAATGTGCTGTATATGACCGCAAGGATTTAGCTATATGATGACAGTAACAGACCTGCTCTGATATCTTTGTCTCCACATTAAGTCAAGTGTCGCTTTCTGCTTGTGATCAGCTGTTTCTGTATTATCTGCAAAACAACAAACGTTTTAATATCAAACTCCTGCTCAGCTCTGGACTCTGCTGTTTGTGTTGTGATTAAAATCGTCATAGTAACGGGTCAAAGGGTGTTTAATCATGTTTATAAGATTATGATATCATAGCAGAATCAGATTAGAATATCTTTTCATACATTTAAAACACATAATCACAGCAGAGACACAGAAAACTTTCATTATGTGACGAACTATCAATATAAAATTTGTCATTAAATATATTTAAAACAAAAGTATTGGGTAAAAACTGTTATGTTGTGTTTATGTATAAATATTAAGTGAAGAAAACTCTTATTTTAATGAACTGTATGTGTCAAAAGGCCTCTAAATATTATGTTTATGCATGCTGGTGAGAAGCCTGATAACTTTATTACACTTAAAAAAAGTTCAATTAACTGAAGAGATCCATAACGAGTCAAGATAAAACTGATTTCTTTGCTTTTTTTTGGTTTGTTTTTTACAAAAGATGAATTTTACTGTCAGTGTAAAGTGTCCTTGTTTCCACGTGAATAAATCTGTTATTAAATTGCTGTGGCAACAGTTGATTATTCATCTTTATTAGACTGTTAAAAAAATACAGATTTAAGATCCTTGGTCTGCAGCTCCTCCTTTCAGATGTCTCTATTTTATTAACCAGTAATCAAGATTGAACTAAAATGAGAAAGATCAAGTTTCAACAAGATTATTTAAACAAAATATGCAAAGAATGTAAACAAGATTAAAAACAGGACAAATCAAAAACTACCCTCAGGAAAAAACAAGATTAAGAACAAACACTGAAAATTTAAAAAAGAAGGCCGAACAGAGCTCAGTATGAAAACAAGATATTTAATTTAAACAAGATTAATAATAATGTTGCTATTGAAAGATATGAAAAAATGAAAGAAATTATAGTTAAGTATAATAAAATGTCATAGCATAAGAAGTTAAAAGTATAGTTTAGTATAATAAAAAATCATATGAGTGTAAAAATGTTTTGTAAAATATGATATAAATTCTCAAAGTATAGATAGAAAGTATTTAAAAAAGTCATAGTATAATCAAAGAGATTAAACTTTAGTTTGAAAAAAATGTCATAGTAAGTTGAAAAAAAAGTCTTAGCTTAGTATGATGTAAATTCCACAAGTAAATGTCATAGAATATAATGATAAAAATTTATACTTTAAAATTTTTTTAAAAAATGTCATAGTATAGTATGATTAAAAATTCAAGTTTTAGTTTGAAAAAATTGTCATAGTATAGTATGTTAAAGTAGTGAAAGTGAAGTATGATAAAAAATTAAAATATTAGTAAAAAAAAGTCATAGTATTGTATGCTATGTAATGTCATAGTTAAGTATGATAAAATATTAAATTTTTCATTAAGAAAGTCATGGTATAGCATGTTAAAAAATGTCAAAAAAATCATATTTCAGTATAAAGAAAATGTCACAGTATAATATAATAAAACATTAAAATTTTAAGTGTGAAAATTACACTTAAGTATAAAAATTTTCACAGTATAGTATGATCAAAATGTCATAGTAAAATATGTTAATAAATTTCATATTTCAGCATAAAAAATCATATTTTAGTATGAAAAAAAGTCCTAGTATAGTTTGATAAAAATTTCAAATTTGAGGAGGACATTATTTTAATGTAAAAAATGTCATAGTATAGTATGATAAAAACTTCATATTGTCGCAAGATAAATATTTCCTATTGAGAATTAAAAAAAACAATATTTCAGTATGCAAAATATGTCATAGTTAAGTATGTTAAAAATATTTAAGTAAGATTAAAAAAAATTATTTAAGTATTAAAAAAATCTCATAGTAAAGTATGATAAATATCACTGTATGGTTTCTTAAAAAAATTGTATTAAAGATAAAACAACATGTTGAAAATTTTAAATTTTAGCATGAAAAACATTTATAATTTCAGTATAAAATGTCAGTATAATATGACAAATATGTCTTAGTATAGTATGATAAAACAAATTCTAATGTAAGTGTGAAATAAAAATCATATTTTAAATGAAAAAATGTATATGTAAATATATATATATATATATATATATATATATAATATGTATAAATGTATGATATACATTCATATAAATGTATGAATGTATGATCGTATGATAAAAATGTCATAGTAGGGTATGTTTAAAATTTCCTATTTGAAAATGAAAAAAAAAATTAGTTTGAAAAAATTCTCATAGTATAGTATGATAAAAAAAAATCTAGATTTAGTGTGAAAGAAAATCATATTATAGTATAAAAAATATCAAAGTATAGTTTGATAAAGTTGTCATAGTATATAGCATGTTAAAAATGTCATAGTATAGTATGAAAATAAAGTTGAATTTTAGTTTGACAAAAAATCGTATTTTAAAAATTTAAAAATCTCATAGTATAGCACAGTGGCGATTGCTCTAAGACTGCAAGGGAAGCTCAGCTTCCCTAAAAATGTCACCCCAAAAAAAAGAAAAAGTGGTGAAATACGTACTGCTGTGTGTACATTTCCTTAACTAAATACGCGCTAGAAAGCCTTCATCTTTTGTTCAGAATCAGCTTCTTATCACACTGTGATAAGAAGCTGATAATCACAGGTAACCGGCACCACTTCGTTCTCATTTATCCTCGCAGCTTCACACAGCCGGACGCTCAGCGTCTGCTGACTTCAATGTGGAAGCTCAAAGTGGGTTGTTCCAGCAGCGAAACTAGACGCTCATTGGATAAATGCTGGGCTTTGTCCCGCCCATCGGACGCTCAGCGTCTCTGGAGTTCTATGACGAGAGGGCGGTCCCAACTTTCTCGCGGACGCTGAGCTTCTGCATCCATGATTTGATGAGCTGTCTGAAGTGAAACCTTTTTTTGATTGACAGCTAAACAAGCGAATCAGCGATCTTGAAGAATAAAACATCTACCAGAGCATTTTCCAAGTTATTCATTCCGTTGTTCTTAACTGCTCCGGAGACTTTACCGATCCTCAGCGACTTTTGTCTTTGTTAAAAACGACTGCCGTTGTGTTTGGCGACTGTTCTGTTACATACAAATAAACAGATACAATTATGATGTAGGCCAGAAAAATGAGCTTCCCCTCCTTGAAAGACCAGCAGCCGCCACTGGTATAGCATGTTCAAAATTTTCTATTTGAGAATAAAAAAATATATATATTTTAACATGATAAAAATGTCATAGTATAGTATGTTAAAGATGTAATCTTATAGTATGTTAAAAAAATTAATTTTTGTGCAAAAAAAGTGTGATAAAAATGCTATAGTATAAATTGTTTAAAATAACATATTTAAGAATGAATAAATATATATTTTAGTATGAAAAATATGTCATAGTGTGGAATTATAAAAAAAACTCATAAAATAGCATAAAAAATATCACCGTATAATATGTTAAAAATGTCAAATTTTAGTGTGAAAAAAAAACTTTATACCTTAATTTGAAAAAATGTCATAGTACAGTAGCGTTAAAATTTTAAAAAATTCTTTTTGTATAAAAAAAGGCATCGTTTGGTATAATAAAAATGTCATAGTATAGTCTGTTAAAAGTTTCATTTTTTACAATTTTTACAAATTTTAGAATGAAAAAGAAAACCTATTTTCGAATGAAAAAATATCATAGTTAAGTAAGATAAAATTTTTAAAAAAATGTTAGTATAGTTTGATTTCAAATTTACTAAACTAAATCACTTAATTTCAAATTAGTATTAAAAAAGTCAAAGAATGGCATTATAAAAATATTATAGTATAGTAGGTAAAAGATTTTATATTTTAGAATAAAAAAACATCATATGAAAAAAATGTCATTGTACAGTACGACAATATCCTAGTGTGAGAAAAAATTCATATGTAAATATTTAAAATGTCATAGTATAGTATGCTACAAATTTTAACTTCCTGTAGTCAATGTATTATATGTTAAAGAAATGTCAGATCAATGAAAGACAATGAAAGACAAATCAAACCCAATCTTAAAAATTTTATAACTGCATGGATCATGACCAAAAGTTATCACATGTAAAAAACATAATTTTAAGAAAAAAGATAAAAATAACAAGTGCCAAAAATATGAACAAGATGAATGAAAAAAAGATTAAAAAGACAAAATAAAGCAAGATTTAAAACCACTCATATGAATACTAAAATGATTTTTCAAAAAAAAACTAAAATAAATAAAAGTAAAAACAAGTTTAACAATATAAACTTGAAAAAGGTCAGACAAAGAGTTAATACAAGATACATAAAAACAAGATCAAATGGAGATACTTTAAAACAGTTTTCAAAAAGTGTCAACATTCACACATGATCACTGAAAACAAGATTATGCTGATCAAAACAGCATGAAAGTAAAATAAACACAGTAAAAGTCAAACATCTGCTGCAAGTATCAACAAGATAAATGTCATCAAGATAAAAAAAAAACATTATCTGACTAGAAAAGTTTAAGATTATTAGTTTGAGATTACAAATATTATTAGATTTTTAGTTTCTGACAAGAGAAAGATATGTAGAGCGACAAACAAGATAAACCAAACAAAAAATTAGAAAGTGCAAATAAGGACAAGATAATAGAAAACAAGAATATGTGCTTTAAAACAAATTTTTGACTAAAACAAAGATTGAAAAAACAAAGTGAACAAAAACAAGGTACAATTCAAAAAGAGCTGTTAGAACAACCAAGAGAAAGGAAAACAAGATTACATGAGCAGATTCACATAAACAGTAAATTAGTTAGACAGGATGTTGTGTGTACACCTTTACTGCTGTTCAGCTAACTCATTGTATTTCAGTTTGACGGTCCAAAGAGGAACAGGACAGAGAGAAAGACTTGAGGCTGCTGCAGCAAGCAGGCAGCCAGCCAGCAAAAACATGCCTCCACATCGCCACCTACTGGTCAAGATCAAAAACTGCTCAATGTTAAATGTCAGAACACGAGGAAAGGAACGAGAGAACATTTAAAGAGTGATGTCTCTTATTTCTTTGCAGCTTCACTAATTTCTCCAAAGAAAAGGATCTAAACTTGTAAACCTGTTAACGAAAGAAAACCCTCGTTAAGTTTACAGGCTGTTTAGGTTTTAGCACTGCTGTATGTACACAGCTGTAAAGAGGGGGGCCCTCAGCTATGTTTATAGACTCTGTGGGAGTCCCCCCCCAAACAAGAAGGCATGGAGGTTAAAAAAACAATACTGATGATTCAGCGGTCTGTGAGTCTGGAGTCTGTTATAGGTCTTTATGCTCACTCAGATACACTCAGGTTAAATTGATCTTTGTTTTATCAGTTTACAGAATAATTATTTTGATCAGTGAATTACAGCTAACTTACAGTTAATGTTCAGTAAATTTACAGTAAATTAAAATACGGTTGAAGTCATGTATCTGAATTTGAACTTGATCTAGATAGATATAGAAACATGAAATCCTGTCAACATGACGTTTCCCAGACTTTGACTCCAGCCTGCTGCGTGTCTCTGAAGTGGAAGTCATAACTCTGCAGATAAAGACTGTGGTGGAGATAAAGAGGTCAAACTCCTCTGCACTCACACCACAAAGTTAAAACATCATCATGTTTGTTTTTAACACGAGGAGGAGCTGTGTGCATCACGAGACGGCATTTAAACAACTTCTTACATTTTTTATTTCTCTGAAAACACTTAAAATTAAGTTTAGAAATCACCTGAGTTTCAGTGCAAGGTTTGGAAATCCTGAGGAAACTGAAGAGTTTATAAAAGGCTCAAACTCTAAAACATCAAAATGGACATTAGACGGGTCCAGACCCAGCAGACATGAGCTTTTATTCAATGTCATGAAACTGAACTCTTAGGGAAACGTTCAGTCTGCCATCTTTGCATTTCTCCTTGGTTTGAGAAGTGCTGTTTTTACTTTTCTATGTAACTTATTTTGATGGTTAATTTACCTCTAAATGTTGCATAAAAAATGACCACAGTGGAAGTTATTAAAGTGATAAATGCAGATTTGGCCCAACTCGCTGACCGTTCAGCTCCAGTTATACAAATATAAGGACAGATTGGGGCACACAGATGGCCAAGTGGGTTGGTGCGCCCCAGGCATAGGAACCACTGTCCACGCAGGTGTCATGGGTTCGAGTCCGGCCCTGACCATGTGTTGCATGTCCTCCCCCCTCTATCTCCCCACATTTCACCCTGCACTATCAATAAAGATAAGGCAAAATTGCTCAAGAGAAAAAAAAGCTGATGGTGGATTAGTATTTTTTTACTTGTAACAAAGCCTCTGACAGTTGTAGTTTTTGACGCTGTGTCGTTAAATTCTTGTTTTGTGTCTGAGAAATAATCCCTGTTGCTGACCGCTTTCTTCTCTAGTTATACCAACTTTAGTAACGACCGCAGGATAGCAAGACAGAGAGCCATGCGCTCAACCAAAAAGCCACTCTATAGCAACAAATAATGCTCAGAACAGCACCTAACTTCATCAACAGTATACAGTATATAGGGTCCCTATAGGTAGCACTAGCCACCAAACATCTTTTTAACTTTGCCTAATTTCTTTAGCAAAGAGACTAAACACAACTCACCTACTCTCTTCCAGCAGTCCATTACCGACTACAGCGAGGTGATGCAGCTCAAGGAAGAACATTTATGATCATTTCTTCATTCATCATTTTCTTTTGACCTTAAATCAATTTTACGCTAGTATATCACTTTAAGCACAAATCAGTCAAAAAAAAGTCTTCCCGGTCTTAAAAAGTCGTTTTAAACAAAGGCACATTTATTACTTCCAAGTTTTTCTTCATCTGACAAGAAAAGAAATCAGTCAGTCCATATCATACAGTACATTCACACTTTACAGAGGACAGTAGTTTACAGAGAGGAGTGTGTCTGCTCTTCAGTCTGATGGTCCAGTTTCAGCTCTGTGATCCTGAGTGCACGTGAACCCTTTAAAAAGGCACTTTGGGTGTAAAGTACAGTACAGATGACAGTCATGGAGCAGCTCTCCTGCTCCTCAGGTTCCCTTGTAAAAGTCTAATACTGATGCAGATCAAAATACAGTCAAATAACGGTCCAGCACGGAGCAGAGTAAAATAAAAAATCAGTGAAAACTGACCTGCTCACAGCAGATGGAGGGTTTTGTTTAGCAAGACTTTATACAAAAAAACAAAAAAAGTGGTTTCGAGCTCTGCCTGAAGAGATGAATAAAGTCTCGACCCGTACTACCTCGACAAAAACATTTATGAAAATGTGATTCTCCAGCTGAGGGCTTCATAAACTCTACAGTACAGTCAGAGGCGACGCAGCGCCACCAAAGCAGAGCGAGGAGTCCAAGAGACCGAGTTCAGGTCAAGAGACCCAAACTACGCCGGCCATCAGAGTCCACAACACTACAGTGTGTGTGTGTGTGTGTGTGTGTACAGTGTGTGAGTGTGTGCGTCAGTCTGCATCGTTTGGTCATCGGTGGTCTTCTTCTTCTTCAGTTGTAGTGCTTCTGTTCCCATCCACAAAATCATAACCGCCATGTTTATTTTTCTGCATCAGGAAAGACACAAAGGAGAGTTAGGAGGTCTGCAGGGGGACAGTGACGAGCAGTGAGTGTTGACATCATTTTTCCTTTAAAAAAATCACAACTGGAGCTTTAAAATCAAACTTCTGAGGAGGTCACAAACACTCCCGTGGCATTTCCTCCTTTATTTAAAGACTCATTAAGAGGTAAACAGCATGACTGCTCCTGAACAGTAAAGCCAAAACATGTAGAGCTCAGAAAGCCCGCCTCCTCAATGGTAACAGATGGGACATTTTTTTATTTACTGAGTTATTAGGTGCAACAAAAAAAATACCTTCAGTTTCGCTTTTATATTCTGACTGTGTGCATTAAAAATGAAATGAAATAAAATAAAAAACAATCGTAAATAAACTGAAAATTAGTGAACAGCAACGAGCTCAAAAAGACTGCAGGCCTGTTTGAAGTTACAGCTGTTACACTGGTTTCCATGTTACTGTTAAAGCACACCTCTGCAGACTTTTCTGTTTAAAGTGAGGGGGTTAGGGGAGGTGGAGCGTACAGACAGACTTTTCCTATTTTTTTTTCGCCATGGTTTTTGGAGGAAATGTAGTTGGTTATTTAACTCAGTAGAGCAGTGGTTCTCAACTGGTCTCACTCTGGGACCCACATTTCCCCACGGTCCTTAAGTCGTGACCCACTTTTTATAAAATTTAAACCAAGCAAATTTATTTTTTGCAAAAAAAAAAAAAAAAAAAAAACCTTCAAAGTCTCAAATGTTTAACATAAATACACTTGTTTTATTGAGTAAAGTGCATTTCAGAGCACATGGACCGAGGATGACAACTACTAAAGTTGGGTATACAGAAAATATTAAATATCAAATTGCAAAAAATAAAGACCAAAAAAAAAACCCCTATCATTACTAGATTCAGGCCATATTAATAAGAAACCGAGGAGGACCACGACATAAGGCGTGCCTTTCAAAAAAAATTTTTCAAAATACTTTTGTACTGGCACTATACTAGGACAGCTGTATACCCTTTCAACACTTTATCTTTTATATTTACATTTGTATTGAATGGATCCTTTATCATGACTGCCACATAATTTACAGAAAGAAATTTTTTGTTACTCTCCAGTGCAGAGTCTTTACTATTATTTATACAGCCGCTTTATTTCATTTGAGTTTATTTGTTCAAGGTTTTCAATAATGTGAAGATAGTTATCTTGAAAGCCACACATGTAAGCTCTCAAATACTTTTTGAATTTTGTTTCTATCTGCTACAGAGGCTGAGATATCAGCTTTTTTGTAAACCTTAACACTTCAGAAAACCTCAGGATCCAGGGGCCCTTTTTAAAATTGCCCTCAGGATTTCAGAGGCGGGTCTCAGACAGGGTTCAGGTCTTAATGGGTTAAATATTTACTTTTTTGGAACAGCTGTGCGCGACCCATCCAGAACGTGTCCGTGACCCACTTTTGGGTTGGGACTCCCCAGTTGAGAACCACTGCAGTAGAGTATAAATCTGAAACGAGTTTCTCTGCTGAATCGTTGTCCTTTTCATTCTCCGAACAGAAAGCTGTTCATTATGTTTATATGCATTTTAATACATGCATGTATTCATGGATTTCCTAATGTTTACTCCAAAGCTGCAAACACACGTGTACTGCAGATTTACTCATGTTTATGTATGCCTTTGTGTGCACACCCACCTGCATTCTTTATGAAACTTTTCCCCTTTGTTTCATGGTCAAGTGAGTCTTTAATCTGCTCTTTTTCAGAGGCCTAGAAGAGACCAGACTGTCTAACACATCAGCCAATCAAGAAGACAGAAAACAAAACAGCTGCTGGTTTGATTGAAGCTGTAACGGGGCTGAAGCAGCAGCAGCAGCAGCACGGCTGGTGTTACTGAAGGTCCTGGATGTGCAGGTTTTAGGACTCATGCAGGGGGACGATTTACTCATGATCGATTCGATCAGGTGGTTAATTTAGAGGACATGCAATCGGTTAATTCAGTGTCTTATCAGGAAATTAGGTACGGTTACATGTGAAGGCTTTCATTGAGTTTGTTTGTTTTAGACTTATTATCATGCATCAAAGTTTACTGAGAAACAGAAGAAATAAGAGATAGAAACGAGGAAATCAGACGAGAGATCGACATCTGTGATCAATGATATAAAGTTTCTGCTTCATCGTCAAGGTTTTGATTTTTTACTTACAGATTCAAACCTGCTGAAAATTACAGGAATAAACATTATTTGATTTGATAATGAAAAACTAAAACATGCATCTTTAGCGATTTCAACCTTTTACATCTCAAAGTCAAAGCAGACGTGTTCATAATGTCATCAGGGCAAAAACAAATATTATAGACACTTTCATACTTAAAAAGCTGAAATGATTTTAGTCTGAAAAAATAATTTAAGTTTAAAAAAGAAAACTGAAAACTTTAAACTGTCTTCATCATGACTCTGGACAAAAACGAGCACATTAACAGAGAGTCCAGCGTGATTAGGACAAAGCTAAAGCATTAAAATCTGTCTGCAAACTGAAAATCGGAGAAAACTCGGCGTAGCTGCAACTGCAAGCGAAGATCAGACTTTGGCAAATGTCTTTGATTTGGATGATGATGTTTTACAAACCCCTGTGTTCGGTTCCGCGTTTAGTTCTAATTTTGGTTCTGTGTTTGATTCTGCACACTTATATGAACCGCTTAAATGAGCCATCTGCAAACACAAAACACCAAAATACACTTTAAAATGATGAGATTTAAACCTTTACCCTTAAATTTCCTCTTGATGTTAATGATGCTGTAAAGAGACGTAAAGATGTTATCTTTAATTTCAGGTATGTTTAAACTATGACTCAGATTATTTATCTGATAACAGAGTTCAAATTTCTGCCCCGGGCTGAATGTGACATCTAATGTCTTTTTAATGATATCTTTAAATGTATATGGTTTAGTTAGTTTCTGTTTGTGTTTGTGTTTGTAATTTACAAATTTTACTTCAAGCCTGAAAAAAATCTTAAATTTAATTTCTTACGACTTTAATCTTGAGAGAAAAAAACTTTTTTTTGTTTTCTGAATCTTAAACAACTGCATTTTCTCTTTTTAAAAGGTAAAATAAGATGCACTTAACTTACTATATCTGTATGTTTAAACTAAAACTCTGATTATTTGTCTGATAACAGAGTTCAAACCTCTGTCCCGGGCAGAATGTGACGTGTAGTGTCCAGAACGAGATTCATGACTCCAAACCAGAGAGCAGACAAAAAGTTTGGAGACTAAGGAGTACAGTGTTTTTGTAAAATGGAGCGAAAAAAAGGTCTAATGTCTTTTTAATGATATCTATAAATGTATATAGTTTAGTTAGTTTCTGTTTGTGACATAAATTTTACTCAAAGCCTAAAAAAACTCTTACATTCAATTTCTTACTACTTTAATCTCGAGAGAAAATTACTTTTAAAAGTTTTTAAATTTCTAAAATAGTTTTCTTAATCTTAAATAAATAACTTTTTCAATGTGGCCCTTTTACTCTGTTGTAGTATTGAGTGTTTCACCAACTTATTGTGCATTTTCTACTTTTAAAAGGTAAAATAAAACTTAGTTAACTTGCAATATCGGACTTAAACTCTTAAAAAAGAGGTGATTTACTTTTAAAACATGTTAAATATTTAAACTGCGGCCATGATATTGTTTGTAAAGTCTGCAGACTCTCCTGCTCCATCTGCATTAGTGTGAGGGAAGGGAACAAACATGCTTCATGCTCCATTCAGTAAAATGGACATAATGAACAACACATGTGGCTGCATGCAGCACGGAGGCGGCGGCAGCCTTACCCTCGCTTTGTGATGCACCAGGGAGGCGATGAGTATCGTCGCCAGGCCAAGTGCGATGAAGCCGTACTGCATGTACTCCATCACAGCGGGGAGAACCACCAGGTTAGTGTGGAAGGTGGAGAGGATGGGGCCGTCGATGTAACCGCTCTGGGGAGGGAAAAACACAGAGGGGAGAGTTTCTATTTTTTGTACAAACACTTTCCTCTGAGCTCAAATCTCTGAACTTTAAAATTCAGACTATAAAATCTGTCGTTAAAATTCACATGCCAGCAGAAAGACACAGAACGTTCTGTGCTATTCAGGCTCCAGCTTTTTGAATCCATGAACTCTGTGGTCTCAAACAATGAACGTTAGCTTCTCACCTCCTCGAACCAGATCATCGGCATCACCACCTCTGAGATCTTTCCAGTTTCTCTGCAAGAACAAAACACTCAACATCAAACTCCAAGGCTGCACCGAACATCAAAAACACAGGAAATCATGCAAACAAACACAATACATGACAAATGTGTCAACAGGGTATGAGCGCTTACGTGATGCCCGACACTCTCTTCATGTAGAGGTTGAGCTGCAGACGGATGGAAACGTTCAGAGGGACGCCCGTTTGCTGCAAAAAAATAAAAACTCATGTTTTAATCTCAGCCCAGCTGTTAAGACAACGACCCCATCCAAGAAAGCACAATAAACAAAAGAAGGAAATCCTTAACTGGGCGCCATTTTTCTGTCATCTTTACTGGAGAGCTACACTCATATAATCTGTCCAAGGACTTCTGTGCTTGAGCTTCACTTCGGGAAATGTGCAAGGTGATGATAAAATCAACGCTACACAGCTGTCAGCTTCACCAAGGTTATTAAAGGACATTCAGTCAAACGAATCAAAGTCGGAGCATCATTTTAGGACAAACTCAAACTAAAGCATGTCTGTCTGTCCAACTGGGGGAAACGACTTTTACAGACCGTGAATCACTTCTTCACTTTCAGAGCTTTGACTTCACTTTGGTGATAATAATAAAAGACTAAATATTAAAATTAAATCACAGAGGAGAATTTGTACTTTTTTACTGCTTATGTTTGATTGAATGAATCATTCAGTCTTTTATTTAATGTCCGTTATAAAGTCAAGATTTGGACTTTTAGTTCAGACTCTAAAGGAGTTCTCTCAATTTTCACATACATACTCTCTCTCTTTCTCTCTCTCTTTCTTTCTGCTCATTCTGTCCCTCGGCCTTTCAGACGCATAGAAACAAACACCCACCTCCTCCAACACTTGAAAAAAAGGGTTTATTTCTCTAAATCAGAGACTTACATCCTGATATTTTTACTAGTATTGCATCAAAGATCCAGACTCACGAGTCCAGGTTTAGATGCAGCATGTGGTTGAAGGTCTGAACCTCTGAATCCAGACCCTTCGCTCTGACCTAACCCCAACAATAATAATAATAATAATAATCCACTCATGTCTCTCTGATTGTTTGATGTCGACTTTTGGTGCCTTTGTGCCAACACATTCCCTCAGACATCTGGACCATTAGATCCACCAACCCCAGACTTTGATGTAACATCAGGACAAAGAGAACTGGAAACCATCTACTTAGTACTTGGACTGTCAGGAAATGAAAAGCCCCTGAGCCTGGAAATGCTTTGGTAAAGTTTCTATGAAGAACAGGTCAAGGAAACACCAGGACCTTTTTTTATTATTACAGCGGAGACCCTGTACTTTGATCTTATTTAGAGGTTCACAGGTTTGACAAATTGAAGTTCACTCAAGTGAGCGAAGAATTGCGATATCAACATGGACCATCCTGAAATCAGAGTTCCTGACAGTTTTCCTCAGACATTTTCTGTAAAAGCAGAACTTTAGGTTCATTTCATGACTACAAAGCTGTATAAAAAGTAACACCCACAAGCCGTGTCAAGCTTTATATTTATGGAAAAGCAGCAAAATGAAGTTTTTCAGGCCGAGGCTGACATGAGAGTTTTTACTGACACCAATAAAAGATAAATAAGGATGTTTTTTTTTAAGCTGCTCTGTTAGAGCCAAAGGCTGACACTTTAAGACGTCTTCTTTAAACATTGTCATGAGTTTAATAATCGTCACAGTGAAGGTTTAATTGTGAAGCTTTTACATCCTGCTTCACTGCTCAGTTTTTCTCCTCTTTAAATCTCTTAATGTAAAAATGGAGTCCTGATAAAAACCCTATCATGTTCATCCTTTCACTTCTGTTCCCTGAAGGAAATGTCCTGAACTCTTTAGTACTAAATGTCTGAGTAGAAGTGTACAAGTCTTATGTAATTCGTTTACTCCCCCTATTAAAAAAAAACCTCTTTTCTCCATTTAATTAACTCCACCGACCTCGCCGCCACCTGTGAGCTGCGTTCTCGTGTTTCCTTATGAAGCTGCAGCTGAAATAGCTGCGTAAATTAATCCAGGATGAAGACATGGATCTAGTCCAGCTGCGGAGTTTGAACGTCAAATAATGTAAAAATGACCCAACCCCAAACTTCACAAAAACTTCCCCTGAAACATAAAACTCTTTCTCAACACTGACCGAGGAGCTCAGACCTGGAACTGGACTGGACTGGAAACTTTATCATATTAAAGGATGTATCAGTCTGTGTTTGTAGAGCTGCTGCACCTTAACATTGTAGTTATCGTTCACACTGAGCTCTCAGCACCCTCTGCAGCACATGTGGCAAAGCTGGTCAGGGTCTGCTAGCATTCAACTTAGCTAACAGTTTCAAGTGTAAGTTTAAAAAACAAATGCAGAATATCTGTGGGGTCTTAAAAAATCTTAAAATGTCCAAAATTCTCTAAACATCCTATAAAATGTCAAATACGACCTTGAAAGGTCTTAAAAATGTAAAAACTCTTCATGTCATTTTTTACTTTTTTGCCAGTATGGATGTTTAATGGGTCTTAAATTGTATTAACTGTGGTCTTAAAAAGTCATAAAACATCTAAAATCCAAACATTTGAATTAAGGCCTAAAAATGTCTAAAATTCTCTTAAAATCTCATAAAACGTTTTAAATATGAAGTTGAAAGGTCTTAAAAATGTATAAACGTGCCATAAAAATAAAGATTGATTTGAAGTAATGTAAAATGTTCAGATTTTTTTTTCATGTCTTTTGTACTTTTTTGGCCATTACGGATGTAAAATGGGTCTAAAATTGTATTCATTGTGGTCTGAAAAAGTCTTAAATTTGACTTGATGAAATCTGAAATGGTCACACAAAAACTGCACATTGTAAACTCTGCTGAGTGAAATGGAAGTCATCACACAGGAGGATAGGTTACACCTTTCCCCTCTGCTAGACCCCCGAAATACTAGCTCTGTCTTTATACTGTTAAGACTCAGACCCTGCTTTTACAGAAAGTCTGGAGAAAAAGCAGTGTTGGCGTGGAAAATGTTGAAAAAGTTGTAAAAGTTTGGTTAGGATCAGCATATTTCTTTAAGATATTTGTTGGTAAAACTTTTAAAATTAGCAGCAGATTTTCTTCCCTTCAGTTGACACTTCTTCTTCGTCAATCCAGAAGTTGGTTGGCCAATGATTGGGTGTTCCCCGTAGGAGATCCTTCCTCTTCTTGAGCATTTTAATAACCAACAATATTTTAATCCAACACGGACTTCTGTTGTTTAAGTTCGTGCCAGTTCTTGACTGCTGAATCAGTTTTCTGTCCTGTATCAGTCAGATCAGAGCCTGTTTTTCAGCAGATTTCTCCTTTTTTAATCTCAGTGGGATCTAACTTTGGTTAAAGGTTGATGACCATATGAAACATCATTATAAAACCCGTTACCAACTAAATCAATCAGTGTGAGCTTCCTGGAATCGGCTGAGGACTTGTGTTATGTTCTTGGAAGAAGACATATCTGAACAGCAAAAATCACTTTCTTATCAAACCTAATTTTTTTATTAGAGCCGTAAAAAGTTCCTTGACTGCCCTCACCGCACACAAGCCAACGTAATTAAGAGCGATATAGCCCAATTTCCAATTACCTTATCGCAGCGCAGGTAACAGCCAAACACAGGTTTACACAAGCAGAGTTGTATAAGGAGCCAAGGACGCGTTGAATCCAGGGAGTGTCGCATCAAACTTATCAGTCTGTGTCACCGTTTACTGCAGTGATCGTTTATGGTGTTATTGGACCTCAGGAAAGTCAGATATCATCGAGTTCATCCAGGGACTCTTCTTCTGACGTTCACATCACGCTGGGTCTAATTCATGAAACGTGATCACAACTACTGCGTTTGTAAACTGAGAGCAGGAGGAAGTTTACGTATAACCTGGAGTTCAGTGTTATTTTAGAGGCTCAGATCATTTTATTATAATTGAACAAACTTAACTGTTTGCACTTTACACAAAATACCTCATTCTTTTTCAGGTGTTTTAGCAATAAAAAGGATTTGAAATGCGTTTTCTGCCTTTAAATCTTTGAGGAAATGTTTGAAAGGCTCAAAAGCAGCCATTTTTTAAAAAAAGAATAAGAAAATATGTAGATATATTACTTGATTTAACAACATTTTAAAACTTAAAACTCGGTATTGGCATCGGCCCCAAACAATCCATGTCGGTCCGGCCCTACTTTTTAAAGAACTCTATAGTCGCGCAGTAACATGAAAGATATACCTCTGCAAATAACGTCTGAGGTTTGGGGAGGTTTTGCCCACTCAGCTCACAATTAGCTTCTGAAAGTTAGTGATTCTGGACGTTTATGGACCGACGTTAAATAAAATAAAGCTCATAGGTGTTACATTTTACACAACTTAGAGTCAGGTTATGCCTTTAGCTGTTAGCACCCACACTGCTCTTCATTTTGCCACATTAGCATAGATTAGCTCTAGTTACATCAGCTGCTTGTGAGTTTATGATTCTGGCACAAACAGATTAACAGTTTAACGTGTTTGAACATCGTCTGATCTCATCTCTTGTGTAACTTTGGGTTTATTGGTTTAGTCTCCTTTTATCAGTCGGGATAAACGTGTTTGGATAGTAAACGACCCTTTCACTCACCTTCAGCCGCAGAGTCTTCTGACCATGTTTATAAGACAGATAAAAAACTTGCGCTTGACTCTGACACCAACGACAAAGTCTGAGACTCTGTCAGGTATAATCGGTTACACTAAGAAGACAACAAGGTCACTCCAGCCTCCATCTTGATATCACTGATGCTTTAATTCAATAAGACTCTACTGAGCATGCTCAAAACACCCCCTGTTTAAAGTAGCTCATTGGAGAGGCCAAAATAAACTTTATAATGATATCAAGACATCTTTAAATACAGTTTAAGTCCAATTCTTCCTCCCAGCTTCCTCGAAACACTCCTGATCAAACAAATGGGTCAAGGCCAGAGGTCCGATTAAATGTCGACTTCATATCAGAGCAATAAACCCGAGCTGAAGGGACTGATTATGAACTCCTGTCATTATGATACCCTCATTACACTGTGCCTGTGTGTCCTGCTTCACTTATTAAGAGATACAGATGCTTTAAGCTCTAATAACCGCCTTCTGCTGTTGAGTTTGTTTACAAGGTTGGATTTTAATGAGTCTGTTTGTTAGTGTACACACTCACTGGGTGGATGTCGATGAAGAGGCCGTGCTCGTCCTCCGATGGACTGAGACCTTGAACGTACTTCAGCAGAACCGGGTCGGCGTTGAAGAAGTGAGGATGAGAGATGAAGACGGGAGAGTCTGGAAAACAGAAACAGAGGTGAAATAAATCAGCTGGACGTTTACTCAGTGATGAATCTAAGAGCATGAAGGTGCGGAGTTATGATGCTCATATTTGAAACACACAGTTTATCTAATCTTGCCAATTTCCATATCTCTGTGGTGTTATCAGGTGCTTCAAAGTCTAAGCTTTCTACAAACCCGTGAAGGTTTTTTTTTTTTTTAACCTTTGCACTTTAGGGTTCAGAGTAGGGATGGGAATCGAGAACTGGTTCTTGTTGAGAACCGGTTCCTGATGGTTCAATCCATCGACATCATTTACATTTTATCTTTACGATTACCTAAGCGATTCCTTTCTAAATAAATTATTTTTAGACTCTCACTAAAGGTGGCATACATCTTTTTCTGTTATCAGAGACGTCATAAAATTTTGAGTTAACGGTGAAAACCTATAGTCTACTTTCTTTTTTTAATTAAAGGAAGGCATTGATAAGGGAATCATTAAGAATCGAATCGATAAGTAGAATCGATAATGGCATCGATATTGATAAAATCTTATCAATTCCCATCCCTAGTTCAGAGAGACTGAAAAACTGGAATCGCTTCAGGCAGCAGATGATCCACAGGATTCAGTATAAAGATTTTTTAAGTCCTGTTCCAGTGGCTGAAGCCCAAATCGAACCTGCTCTATGTATTTGGATTATTTTTCTATCTGTGTGCGATAAAACCTCGGTGGGGTGAGGATATCTGGCTGCAGAATCCTGGTGAAGCGGGTTCAGGTTTGGACTTTCACTCACTGTGTCGGCAGCTGCTGACGTTCAGCAGACCGGACTGTCTACAGGGGCAGAAGCCTTCATTGGGAGCATAGTCTGTCCCGTTCGCGAACAAGGTTTTAGGTGCGACGTATCGATACAGAGGGATCCCTTGCATCTCGCCTGGACGCTGGTAAACAAGCTCCATGGATCTGAAAAATAGAAAAGGGTGGTATGAGTGTGAGAGCAGTGAGAGGTCCGAGCGCTGAGAGGGGGTGAGGGGTCTGACCTGCAGGCGTCCGGGCTGTAGAAAGGCAGCGTGGACTCTGTGGTCATGAACGGAGGCCACATCTGTCCGGCTGTCCCGTTGATCATGTTGCACTGAGGAGTCCTCCAGTAGTTCAGCTGAAAACAGGGACAGTCAGTCAGTCAGTCTGAAAACCACACACAGGACCACCAAACACTGAAGAACCACCTCTCTGAGCTCTCACCTCAGTCAGGCCGTTCCAGGAGTCGACCCTGTGCACGTTCCTGATGTCGTCTTTTCCAGTGAAGATAGTGAACAGGCCGGTGTTGGAGTTGTTGAACTGTAATGAGAGGAATCAGAAGTTTACACTTGGAGACACCTGCTGTGGAGGTGACAGTTTTGACTTTTCAGTCATGTGAACAGACGAGCATGCTAACATGCTCAGGTGTTTCTGCTCATCCTGTGATGACTCATTTCCCCACGGTCCCAGAGGTCACATGACATCAATGTGATCTCATCCGCTCGCTCGGTCACAGATCAGGTTTTCATGAATATTTGGAGCTATTTGCTGGAGGTACCAGATGTACTCTGATGGTCTGATCAGCTCGGGGTCCTGAAGTCACATGACATGATTGGCTATCCATCTCAGGTGAGGTTTGCTGCAGGTCTGAGAGTTTTAAGGTGCAGTTTTTGTTATTTTATTAAAGAATAAAAGATTTAGTAAGTAATTTAGTTTCAAGGGAGCTCTCACTCAGATACTCTGAATACAGATCATAAATAAAGAGTTTCAGCAGTTTTCTTACATTTTCACTCAGACTTGTTCAGTTGTTCAGGTTCCTATTTTGAAGGGTTTTAAATTTAGCTTTATGAATGAGGAATTTCCCTGATAGGGTCTTTTTTGGGTATTCATCAGCACAACTAACTCAGACAACTACGGAGGATTCAGACCAGGTGGTCCAGGATTCTCCTGACTGGAGACTGGAAGTTGTAAAAACTTTGTGGCTTGTGTTTTAAAAACAAAAACGGTTTCTGCTGCAGCTGAGTAAGAAATCCTATTTTAGTTTGTCTGTTAAAGTTTAATAATCTGACCGACACACAAGAACAACACAGGCCTGCAAAAACATAATTTATAATTATTTATTATCCATAATTCTTCTCCGTTTTATTGAGTGATATGTCAAACTCTGAATGTTTTATCTCTGTCTCTGAATTTTTAGATTTTAATCTTATCTCTAGTGTTTCTTCAGTTCTTCCATCCTTCAGTCTTATTGAGAACTTTTTGTTTGATTTTCTGTCCTTATAAACCACCTTGTGTCTCATTTTATTATATGAAAAGTGCTTTTCAAAGAAAGTCTGAATGCCTGAAAGATAAAACTCGACCCTGTTTTGAGCATCTTTAACCTCATTACTTCTCTACAGTCTGCAGAAGCTCGGGCTGATGAGGTTTAGTGAAAAACGGTTAAAGGTGTGTGAGTTAAATGTATCTTCTTTTCCTCGTGTTTTTAGACTATAATTAATTAAATGAGCATGAACACAAACACCTTCTCCTTGACTGTTTGAGCTGTTGTCTTTAACTTCAATGGATTTAATCAGATTTATGCAGAATGACCTCCTGCGGTGCATTTAAACACATGAACATACATTCCCGCCCCCCTCTCATAAAAACCTGTAAACTGACGTTCAAACACTCACTTCAGCGAAGAGGCCAAACTTTCCGGAGGATGGCAGCATGCCAGGCAGGTATTTGTTGAGGAAGTCCACCAGTCCGCTGTCATAGCCCCACATCAGCTCTCCCACAGGTTTGGTCAAGAAGGGTCCCTCCTTGAAGGTCTTGAAGGTGGCACTGATCATCAGTCGGACGGCAAAGGGGAGGTTCTCCATCATGATTGAGGCTCCCTGAAGAAGGAAAAGCAGAAATGTGAAGAAAAGATCTGGATAAACAGAAGGGCTTCTGATCCGAACAGAGAGGACCATGTCTCACCAGAACCAACATGTTTGGGATGGTGACAATGTCGGACTCGGTTCCTGCGGACATGGACGGCTCAAAGAAGTACTTCCTGTACTCTCTGTAGGACACAGTGTTGTTCTCGTGAAAGGTGATGTTCTCTTTACGGATTTGCTTTCTGCAAAAAAGTTTTAAAAATCATGTTAACACAAAATCACTCAGAAAACGGTTCATTTAACAAAGTCCTTCATCGGTACAGAACCTGGTCAGAACTTCTACATCTGTAAAAACACATTTAGGATAACAGCGATCTCGGCTCCGGTCGGGATCACCAGGTGGGTTTTAGGCACATGTGGGAGCAGCTGATAAGTTCATTCGTTAGTCTGACATCGAACTGAAATTCCACCAAACCAAACTTGTCAGAGTCGGACTTAAGTACCAAAATCTGCTCACACGCCAAACTACGAAGCTGTCAAAGTCAAACTCATGAAAGAAAATCAAAGATCATCGTTACTGTGACTGTTTGACCACCATAAAACACACACACACTGAGTTTTATTTGTTTGTTTGTTATTTGAATATATATCGGCATAAAAGCAAACCTTTGCTCTTCAGTTCAAGGTTCAATGGTGGAGGGAGGCAGAATCTGTCTCATGTGATAAAGAGATAAAGAGGATGATAAGAGGGGCAGAGAGAAGACAGCAAGGACAGTGGAGGTGTTTCTGTCATAATTGGAGTTATTATAAGACCACAGAGTCTCTGTTTCAGATCTCAGGACTGCGGTTTGTTTTGTTCTTGGACAAAGAGATTTTTAATAAAGGAGTATTTCATGTTTCTCAGAGAAATCAAACTGAAGTGGAGCGCAGCGACTCGAAGACAAATGGAAGAAGATTTAGTCACTATTTCCTAAAACCTCAACGTGACAACAGCTCAATCATTAATGCTGTGTTTGCATAAGTCGTGTTTTTAAACTGCGGTAATATCAGTCCGTCGACTTTAAGTCAATAAATGTTTGACGTGGTTTCTTCAGAGGAGCTTTTAAAAGTAAATGTCTCTTCTATTAGAGTAAATACGGTCATGTGACATAAGGCAGAGCTGCAGTATTCTCATAAATTCACCACCTGTAGGTTAATGCTGACTTAATGTTACATAAATACAAGAGGATCATGTTAAAAAAACAGCACTAACCTATCAGTAAAGATTAGATAAGATAAGACCTGAAAGAAAAGCTTTTCCACTCCACAGCAGAGCGAGAAAATCTGATTTTGACCTTAAAACACTCTGACGACGTTATCTCTTATTTAGTTTTCCTGATACTGTCGATTATTCTGCAATTTGCGCTTTGAGAAATCACCACTAAATACAAGCATTGATTCATAAGAGTTAAAAAATGTTGGTAAAAACAGAATTGGATGGTTTGAGAATCCATTAAAAACTAAAATACTTAAAGGAAATCAGATAAAAACATGATGTATGAGATGGACTGATGCTGCATTCCTGCACAAGTCGGAGGTCAAATCTCCCAAACTGTGAATCTGTTTTTAATTTTTTTAGGTTTAATCAGGATCCTTCTTCTGTTAAATGTTAAATCACAGAAATTCAGAGTTACATTGACAGCAGAAGACACCAAGAATCAGAGCTGAAGAAAGATGTCTGCTCTTACATCAGAGCCAGGTCCACATATGGTTTCTTTGCGATGAGCTGGGGGGATGTTTTGTCCGTGAAAAAACTAAATGTTCATAACCCCTGCACCCCTCCTCTTCCTCCTCGTTTTCACATACGGAGAGTTATGTAACCACCAGTTGTGGTGCAGCCTAGTAGGTCAGGAGTGACGGCTTTAAATTGATGTATATGTACTGACCTATTTTCTACATGTGGGGCACATAATGTTCCCAAAAAGTGAGTCCAAAAACACTTAAAACTCCCTCTCCAAGGCAGCGTTTTATGACCAGTTCTGTACATTTGTGAAAGAGGAACAGTAAAAATTAGGACAGGACGTGAAACTCATACATTTTGGACAACATTTGGACAAGACAGAAGCACTTTTTCAGAGCGATCAGCATCAGAGCAGATAAATCCAAGAAAATAACCCCAAGATTTCTGCTGGGAAAACATTTACAGGCAGCAGGACAAAGTGTACTGATAGGCAAACGCAAAGCAGCAAGAAACACACACAGTTTATGATTCAGGGATGTTATAGGTTCTAATGATTGTGAGTTTATTCTGAACTTTACGCACCTGTACACATACGGTCCTTTCTGCTCCACCATGGGCTTCTCTCCGGCCAGGATCTCTTTGGGGTTGAGGACGTTGAAGAAGTAGACGGACATGAAGAATGGCACGGGGACGTCTTTCCACATGGTGTAGGACAACTCATTTTTGGGGTCGATCACCGTGTTCTGACAGAAAAACAAAAAAATATGATTGTTAACAGAGGGGTGCAATAAATCACAACTTTATGAACAATTTACAGGATTTTTTCCCCCAGTTTCTCAATAAAAAAATGATTTTCTGACCATAATTAAAGCTTCAATGAGGAGCTTCAGGTTTACTTACTTTTGACAGTCAGCTGTGTCATGTATTGTAAATTTTCTTAAGCTTTTCAGGCATTTAAAAAATTACAGTATAAAGAGTTAATCTTGTAACAGATGGTCGCGTTTGCTTGTATTTATTATAAAAAAGAATCACTATGAATGTCAGTCTATTTCATAAATGTCTGAAAACTTTACAGTAGAGTTTTCTTACAAAAAATCTCATCCTGTTAACTTTTGATGATTGATTTTGTCATTAATTGTGATTATTTTAAGGTAAAATAATAAGTTTCTACCTCTTAAGGATTCAGCGTCCATGATTTCCAAAAAGAAGGTCTGTTAAATTTTATAAAGTTTGTTTTAACTGAAGAAAACTTGGTTAACTTTTACAAAAAAAAATTTAAATTTAAATATTGTTGACCCTCAAAAATTAAAAAAAAACCTCAAAACAAACACAGTAGTATCACCAAAAACCCTTAAAACAGCAAAAATCTTTACATTTATGAGGTAACACACACAATAAAGATCCTGCCGTTAATTCACTAACTGTCTGAGGTCTTTCTAATTAAATCTCCTTCTATAGAATTTAATTTCCACCCTCAAGATTTAATTATAAAAGCATCATTTCAACGGGATCCTAAGGGAGGTTCGTGTTACCTCACATTTTGTATCACAGCCAACACACACATGGATTACATAGGACCTTATCATTCTGGTGATGGATCTGCATCTATGTCGTACATCTCTGAGCCCCAGGTGGACTTACTCAAACACCCTATATGTCCTCATGTGGATTTTTGTTTTTAAGTTCAGTCGACAGAGTTTGGACCCGAGCCCAGCAGCATTAAAATATCTGAAGGGGATTTAAGGAGTGGGGCAAAAGTTCACTTCACCTGACTTTTTCTATTTTAACCTGATTTTCAACACTAGATTGATTTTTTAAAAATCTATATCATATCAATAAATAGTGACAGTACCCATCATGATTATATCAGCCAGGAGTTTTACATCTTTAGATCAAAATAAACACATGGGTCATATTTAAGGCTCCTTTTGAACTCTTAATCTTCCTGTTTTTTTTAGTCCAAGGTGCAACTTTTACCATGATAAAAGTATGAAATCTCACCACTGAACAACCTTTTTGTGAACACTGATTGAGGCTGAGCAGAGGTCCAGTTATCACTCTCAGAGATTTGATAACCTGCCGGTGGTGTTACACCAGTTAACCAGTAAGTGGATTTTTTTCTCATTAATTTAACATCTTAGGTATAAATAAAAAAAGAATTTCTAGTGAAAAAATACAATTAAAGCACAATTATATGCATTAACACCTACTTTTGAATGTCTGTTTATTCATTTAGTCAATTTTTCCTCATAAACCTTCTTGTTTTTACCTTTTTTTAAAAATTTTCAGTGATTTCTGTGAGATAATTTACATCAATCATTTTTTTTCTGGTATATTTTCTTTCCTCTGTGCTGTTATTCCTACACATGCTGCTACTGATCAATAAAGGGGTAGGACTTGATAATTTGAACAAAGTATGACTATCTATGTTGCTACAGAGTTGTCTCTTTAATTGTTTTTCTGCCAAAGCACATTGTATATTGTATTTATTTTGTTTTTCTTTTAACCTGTTCAAATAAATAAATAAACATAACTAAACTAAACTAATATGTGTTTATGTTTTACCCTCAGGTTTGAGTCCCTTTAAACAAAGGCATGTGTCATTAATAAACTTCTTTTTATGCTTTAAAACAGTTTTTCCTTACTCTATTCTATCAAGAGTCTAATGCGCACAGGATTTAACCTTTTAGGTCAAATATTCATTTGTCACCCTAAGATGTTTATTTATATGACACTTTATTGAACGTTTTGACTGTTTTTCTTGCATGCATGTGTTTTGGGTGGGTTATGACTTTATTCACAGGTTATTTTAAAGATCTTTGACTCTTTTTCTGACACCTAAAGGTGGATAACCTTGACTCAGCAGCTCTTCCCTCAGGTCTGAACATGCTAAAATCATAACAACTGTCCAGGTCAGAAACGCTGCTTACCTTCACTATCTGGTCGTCGATGATTATCGGACCCACAAAGCAAAGGACGGTCCCAAAAAACACGGCGAGGACCCCCGCCACCACGAAGCCCACAGCCACTTTGGTTTTTCGGATGGCCATGGTTTGTTATGACAGATCTGTCCCGGTTAGCTTGTTTATGTACAGAAGGCAGCGCGGCTACTCGGAGTAAGCTAACAGTTAAAGACGAAAACAGCGTCTAAAATATGCCGCTATGTGAGCTAAAGTCCACTCTCTTTCACTCTTTTATCGCCTATTCTTATCAATATTGGAGACCTGCTTTGAATTGTCATCGTTTTTATACTCTGCTGGAACGCCTCCAACTGTGCCGAGGATTCTGGGAGTTGTAGTTCCGCTTTATTTATCTACACGCCTACGTCATGAGTGAGGCCGAAGACAGGTCAGCTGATACTGTTAGAACAAGTCATTAAAAAATAAAAATTAATAAAAATTAATTAAAACAATAAAGAACAAGGTTTACTAAAATATAGAAAATAATATAGATAGAAAGAAAGAAAGAAAGAAAGAAAGATAGATAGATAGATAGATAGATAGATAGATAGATAGATAGATAGATAGATAGATAGATAGATAGATAGATAGATAGATAGATAGATAGATTATTGCATTAATGAATTAAAAAATAAATGAATTGACCAAAAATTGATTGATTTAATGGATGACTGCATGGATGGAACAATGGATAAATGAATGCATGGACGGATAAATAATGAATGAATGGATTAATTGATTAATGGTTATATTTCTCGATTATAAATTGATGATATATTTCTTATTGCAAATGTTCATTTTAATCAAAGTTCTTGTTTTTTATTTTATGTCATTTTATTAATTATCTCTGTTCTTAGTCTTTTTCTTAAATCCCCATCATAGAGGTTTTTACTTCTTTTACCCCTTTTTCACGGTAAAGAGCTCTTACTTATCTATTTATTTTATTGTTTTACTCTTTCTTTTTACTATTTTCATCTTTATCCCCAGTGTTTCCTAAAGACAGCTCTTTCCTCTTGTAATGTCTCAGTGTCAGGCCATGTCTCTTTAACAATATATCTTAAATTCTCACACTGTGTGTGCTTGTGTGTGTGTGTGTGTGTGTGTGTGTATGTGTGGGTGAGTGAGTGTGTGTGTGTGTCTTTGTGTGTATGTGGGTCCATGGGTGTGTGTGTGGGTGGGAGGTTCTGGTTTTATTGTTGTTAACTGTTGTTTTTTTTTTTTATTTGAATTTGAAATGGATGATTTCTGTGTGTGTGTGACATTCAGACTTCATACCACACCCTTGCAGGAGTCAGCGCTCCAGACATTTCAGGACACGCCCCTAAAAATGAGTATATCCAAATAACAAAGAAATATTCAGCATGAATTTATCTGGTCCAATCTGAGGCCTCCTTTATCGCTGATTATCACCCCACAGTTAAAAGTATCTCTAATACATGAGGAAGAAAATAACTTTCATCTCAAAAATTTCATTTCAAGGACAGAAAAGAGCTAAAGGAAGGTCAGCTTAGTTCAGAGTCAGACACAAAAAAATTAACTATAAAAGTATTTATTTTTTAAGTACATGTCTCATTTTGATTTCTAATGACACATCAGTATAAAGGCAGCATTTAACTCTTAACACTGCTGGAGGGTTTGTACTGAAGTACTGAAATTTAATCAAATTCAACATTATCAGTGCTCATATTTCTATCTATTGTCATTTGCCACCACATTAATCTTAGTGTTTACTGTGTGCCTCCATCAAACCAAAGAAAAATCATTTTAAAGTTCAATTTGCTCCACAGTAAATTTGATTTTGGTTGTTGTAAAAAGACATACTGCACCTTAAACTCCCCTGCAGTCAAACCGTACAGGGTACTGGGAAGTTAAGAGCATTTTGAGTCATCGATCCTTATTTCGGGATGTTTTAAATCTTATTTTTAACCCCCCTAAGAAACACACTACTTAGAGCCAAAAACACACCTGTCGTCTCCAGGGATAGCTCTACTGAGATAGAGACAACGGTGCCACGGGCTTACACATACACATGTACACAATAATTAGTGACTTTTTCTTCCTAATAATAAAATATTCTTATATTTCTGTCGTTGAAAACATGAGACGTCGGGAAAAAGGCGAAATCTCTCAGTGATGACTTACCTTAATGATTTGGTCCTTCATGACCGCCGGTCCGACGAAGAGCAGCACCACTCCAAAAACCACCGTCAGAGCCCCAGCCACGATAAATCCCAGCGACACTTTGGTTTTGTTGATGCGCATGTCTGCTGAGAGACTCACTTCTGTCGGATTTTAGGAGAAACGGGGATTCTCACTCAGTCTGGGGTGGAGGGATGAAATGAGGAGGAGAATTTGTCAAACTGGGATGGAGTCAAGGGGAGGATGCCGCTGAGCGCGTGCTGCCACTGTTTATATCCTGAAGACCACGCCCCCTCCCCACTCATGGGGGCGCGGCTTCAGCATCTTCAGCAGTTTAGCCAAAGTGAATCAAATTCATGGAGTCACATTCAAGTCAGATGACAGCTTTTTACGCGTCACTCTGTGATTTTCATGAGCAGTAAAACTTAAAAAAGTTATTAAAGTCTTCATTCAAAGTTTTTTCCTCTCATAGTCTCGAAGAAACAGCTGCTGAAATCTTCAGTCTGCGTTAACAACATACTAAAGGATACTTGGTTAACCAGATCTCACACAGACAAACACAAAGATAGACTTTCAGCTGCTTCCTGATGACCATAGGACTGATACTGGCACAGTGAAACTCACACAGGCTCAGCTTTCTTATGTCAGAATATTAAAGGGATATTCCGGTGTAAAATTAATTTAGGGTCAAACACCGAGTTAGACACCCCCTCCAGAGATGAATGTTGCAGACTGCTTGCTTCTCCAGTAATACCAACTTAAGTAACGACCGCAGGATAACAATACACAGCGGTCTGAAGAGCCATAAACAAACCTCAACCAAAACACCACTCTATAGCCACAAATAATGCTCAGAACAGCACCTAACTTCATCAACAGTACATATAGGGTCCCAGCCATAGTACTAGCCACCAAACATCTTTTTAACTTTGACTAATTTCCATAGACTGTATAAACTATGGACAACTTGGTTCCGCCTCCCGCCTGTATACGGATTTGAAGCCAAAAAGCTCTCTGAATTTCGGGGATTTTTCTTCATTTTCTGAAACCAGCGCTGCGCAGTAGTGTTGTACACATTCGACGTAAGAGTCGCCGAGAGTCGCTGTGATGATGCTCAGCTCAAACAGCGAATCCCCCGGGTGAGCTACACAATCCCTGAACACCAATAGGCTGAATCAAGTGTCAATCAAAGAAAACATGAACCCCCTTAATAACTTTGAAAAATTGAGTTGTACAGAAAAAAAGAGGACTTGAGCATAAACCAATCTGATAGTAACTACATGTCACCATCACAACCAGGGGGAGAAACATTTATGTTCTGTGTAATCAATTTCTAAAGTTTGTCCACAGCTCCATAAACTTTGCTGGCAGAGGCGGGATTTATGACCTATACTGCAGCCCGTCACCAGAGGGTGCTGTTCTTGCAGTGGCTTCACCCAGCGAGGAAGCAGACGGCGTCCAGTCTATGCTGATTTCTTTAGCAAAAGGACTAAACACAACTCACCTACTCTCTTCCAGCAGCTGCATGTTTGTAGTGAGACCTCAGGCCAGTCCATGATAATTTCTTCATGGAAATACAATCAGACCGAGACGCCAAGGCAGAAGAACTACCACGTCTGCAGTAAAAAAATTGAATATGGTGATTATTACTTCAAGAAAATGATAAAGTTGTGATCATAAATGTTCTTCCTTGAGCTGTGTCACCCTGCTGTAGTCCGTAATGGACTGGTCTGAGGTCTCGCTACAAACAAGCGGCTGCTGGAAGAGAGTAGGTGAGTTGTGTTTAGTCTCTTTGCTAAAGAAATTAGTCAAAATTAAAAAGATGTTTGGTGGCTAGTACTATGGCTGGGACCCTATATGTACTGTTGATGAAGTTAGGAGCTGTTCTGAGCATTATTTGTGGCTATAGAGTGGCGTTTTGCTTGAGGTTTGTTTATGGCTCTTTAGACTGCTGTGTATTGCTATCCTGCGGTTGTTACTTAAGTTGGTATAACTAGAGAAGCAAGTGGTCGGGAATATTCATCGCTGGAGGTGGTGTCTAACTCGGTGTTATGGTGTGTTTGACCCTAAATTAATTTTACACCGGAATATCTCTTTAAGGAACTTTTTATGGGCCTCTTTAGTTTTTCATTCATCCTCTGACTTTCCTCTGATTCTTGGTTATCATTGCTTCTCTCTGTACCATGTAATAAAGCGACAATTTGGGCTTTTAAACTTTCATCTGCCTCTAACCAGATTCTGACTGATAAACAATAATAAAGAATATGAAAAATCCCCAACTGTGTCTCAATTTTTCCACTTAGAGTCGGAAAACAGAAAAAAAAAATTAGCCACATGACTTTTTTGGGGTTTAAACCATAAAATGAAATAAATTAACTTTCGTCAATATTCAGTAAAAAGAGTAAAAGGAGGAAAGAAAAGACCAAAGATGAAAAACAGGCCAAAGGAGCTTTAATTTTTATTTATTTGGTTAAAATGTTAAAAGTGTAAACCTGTTTCTTGTTTTTAGAAATACAAAGAAAATAACAGTAGGTTGGTTTTTGAACAACAATTAAAAAACAAATTATCCGACCATTAAGTCCACCTTAAGAACCAGAAAATTGAACTACAGTAAATCAAGTCCTTATGTCAGAATAATAAAGTGACTCTGTTCCTATTTTAAATTTGTACCATCATCAGAAAGTTGTTATACAGCGTAGAGTCGGTCATAGAGGGAACCCACTGAGTTTTTATCTGCTGACGATGGAAATCTGTAAACCTCATAAAAGCTACGATCTTGTCAGAGAAGATTTTCTGCATCATTTAAAAGAGAAATACTCCAGAGTTTCACAAAAACATTGTCTTTCTCTGTTTTTAGTCAGTAAAGCTAAAACTATAACTCCATAATGAACTGAGGGTCAGAGTGAGGGGGCGGGGCCTAAGTAGAGCGAGCAGGGGTCCGTTTCACGTAGGTGGTTCAACAAACTCCGAGTTAAATCCTTAACTCTGAGTTGATCTACTCTGAGTTAGGAAACTCTGAGTTTCCGGTTTCACAATACCTGGGGCCTGTTCTACGAAGCGAGTTCAACTTAGCGAGATAGCCTTGGAGCTACCTCGCTCAACTTAGCGCAGTAGCCAGCGGTCTCGCTAAGCGGTTTTACGACGCTGGTTATCAACCTCATAAGTGGATCCAGCTCTGCTATGAGCGCGTGCACACATATAAGGCGGAGCCCGCCGCATCTGACCAATCGCGAACATGGATCAGTCTGGAGCGTCAGAGCAGGCTGGAGAGTGAAGGACCGCAGACTTTACAAACGAGGAACAGGAGACGATCATGAGAAAGTATGCAGAATTGAAAGCTATCACAAACCTCAAAAGCAACACCGTCGCCGCTGCAAAATCACGGAGGGAAGGCTGGCAGAAAAGTAATCTTTGATGCCATTATCACCCTGAAATAGCACTGTTCAACATGCACTTTTAACTAAAGTGACAGTCCCCGAATTGGATGATCTATCCCCGGCTAAAGCTGTCCCCGAAAATGTCCCTGATTTAAGCGTTTCATGAATGAGAAAAAAAAAATTTGCATGTGGGCAAGAACAACGGTTGTTACAGTGGGTAGGAAGCACAAGTAAGCAGTCCTGAACAACAGTATTTACGGGGTTATTATAAGGGGCATGCGCTGCTACTAAATAGTACCGAGATGTTGTCTGTGATCGCGCAGCCCATGCCCATTCATTCCCAAGATGAATCATTCATTTGTTCATTCCTATCGTGTTTACATGTTTTGTGTAATATGTCGGCCATATGAGCCTTTCATAAAGGTGGTCATCCGGAGAAAACTCTCCCTGTAAACTCTCGCGAGCCAGAGTGCTCCTCGGACAATGCGAGCACCGAGGTCTATAGGATCCTCAGAGAACGGACAAGCCGTTTTTCGAGAGAGCTCATTGGTCAGTGGGCGGGGTTTTTATACTCGGTGAGTTCAATCTGGAACTTAACCTGCCCCGGAGCAGGTTAGCCGTTCAGCATATATTGCTATGGAGACTCGCCTCGCTAAGAAGTGAACCCGCGTCGTAGAACAGGAAATCCCGAACTTACCCTCGAAGTTATCTCGCTAAGCAGTAATCCTGCTTCGTAGAACAGGCCCCTGATTTGAGACGGTTTTAACAACTCCGAGTAGTTTGAGCTGGAGTTAAGCATGTGCATGCCAGACATAAACAGCCAGCATCTGTGGAGCGCAGATTCAATGATCAACCAATGGAAACAGGGAGAAGGAGGGGGCAGCAGCAAGCCAACAGCGAATTACAGCACGTTTGTAAAAGAAAGTGCAATACAGCAGCAGCTGCAAAGGAGAGGGAGAGGGCTTGGGAGGAAATCGCTGCTCGCGGCAATGCGTAACTTTAAATCTAGTCTCGTGCAATCACAATGACAGACTGTTGCAGGGAAACTGCTTGAATCATTTTGATCATGTTTTACATTGTCAAGTGAGTATTAAGTGGCAGTTTGATCCCTTAGAAAATGCTCTTTTCACACTCAAAAATGTTACTCTCTTATGATGTTCCGTTAAATGATTAGGAATATTAAACTAACTCTCAGTATGTATATGTACATATATTAAACTAACACACACTACACTCAATATTAGACTTTCACTCAGCAAACAGAAAGAGGGCAGATGCCAGAAAAACGGGTGGTGGCCCAGCAGCCCCACCTTTAACGGAGGCAGAGGAGCTGCCCCCCCTCCCCTCGACGATCGAAACCCCCACCTCGTAGCAGCGGTCGTCGGACTGGTGTGCGTGTGTGTGTGTGTGTGTGTGTGTGTGTGTTTGTCTGTGGGGGGGGGGGGGGGGATTTGCGATCGGACCGGACAAAGTCAATATTAATTTAAACTAAAATATTAATTCAGCGGCTACTTCAAATTATAATTTAAACCCCAAACAAAATGTAGTTTTTCAACGTCCTCTCACTTAATTCTACACTTCGTGGATTAACACTTGATACAAACACATTTATATTTTAGACCTATTGAAGTCATTTAAAATGTGACGCTGTAGCCTACACCAACACTGATTAAAATACTATTTTAAAATAAACATTGACTTCTGCTCAGCCAACAGAAAGAAGGCAGAGGCCCGAAAAACGGGTGGAGGGCCACCTCCACTACATCTGACGGAGGCTGAGGAGCTGGCCCTCAGCCAAAACAGGGGTCGCCCTGTGGCTGAAGGCATCCCCGGGGGAAGCTCATCTGAGCCTGTCACCCCCCAGGACACAA